TTCTAGGATCTGCACCATCCTGTGAATGGGCAAGGAAGAAGCAGCAGCAGCAGCAGACTGAGGAGGTCATCCTTTGTCTCCTCCACTCTGTAAGGATGTTAACTGTTGTAGCTGACAACCTTATCCCAAGCCATAGAGAACTGGCAGAATGACAATGCCGCCCCTCCTTATTCTAGTCTGGATGCTGCAATAGAGAGGATTACAGGAGCATTTAATCTTTTTAAAATTAAGTTATGAATCAAATGTGCATCTGATTACACGTGTCTGAAGTTCAGATTTAACCCTTTCACTACCAAGCCCTCCGGAACACCTTAGCTGGCCACATAATTTTTGCAATTTTTCCCATTGATTTCTTTTTCAACTGCTGCATTGCTAGCGTTTGTAAAAAAAAAAAACCAAAGCATATATTTTCTGAAAGCACAGGCATGGTAGAATAAAAAGATGGTGCTACTAAATTTGTAGGCCCTGCGATAATTGCGCAAATGTTCATCAAATTAATATTAAACTGATAAAAATACACAATTCAATTGATAAAGCACACTAAAATTAGTATCAGCGCACATTAAAAAAAAAATTCTAAACATATCTATAACATAAAACTGTATTGAGTTAATAATTAACAAATATTTGCACATTTTTAATTGCGCTTTTTTGCGAAAAGGTAACAAAATGAAGGAACGAAAAACTGTAAATAAGCGGCTTATGTTAAAAATCGTTTTTGCGCTGTGTTGGTGTTTGTGTTGTGATAAAATGATACAGGCGTATATTTAATTGCAACACAAGGTATCACAACAGACGGCAATGTGTCACAAAGATTTGCCATGCGCTGCCACAGTTAAATGTTTTTTTAACCAGTTGACATCCGCATGCGGCGATATGTAACATGTGTAGCACTTTGCATTTTTGCACTTATTGTTATTGCTATTATATAGGGGGATAACAATCCCCCTATATAATAGCAAAGGCACACTGACAGGTCCTCTTTATGGAGACATTAGGGGTCTCTAGGACCCCTAATGTCACCTGTGGACCCCAAAAGAAGCTGATGAAGCAGAGATCATGCGTGCCCCCTAGGGGGCGCACGCGAGCAGAAAAAAAAAACCGTCTGGAGACGGCAACCCGCCAATGCCGTCCGTCCGTTTTTTTACAACGGGCGGACGGCAAGAGGTTAAAAAGAAAAAAAATCATGCACTGCGATGCATTCTAACAACACACTGCAGCGCATGTGCATGGCGTACACTACAATATGGTGCATGTGTATGTTATGTGTGTGTGGGGGAGGTTTTTTTTTTAAATTAGTTTATTTTTTTAAACACATTTTTAAATTTAAAAAAATTATTTACTGTTGGGGGTGCTACAGTGAAATATATGTAGCCTAAACAGACCCTGACATTTCCCATTTAAAATATAAAAAGAAATTGAGGACACAGAGTCCTAAAATCTCTTTTTCTGTAGCCTCTGTTCTAAATAAATGGAAAGCACTCAGTAAATATTTTACTATCACTAGTTTCTGAATGAATGGGAAGCCTCTGTACTATCAACCAGTTTCTGAATGGGGAGAAGCCTCTGTAGTGAGTGTTTCTCCCCATTGAGAAAGTCATGAATGAACAGGAAGTGATATAAATTACTTCCTGTTCATTCATAACTGGAGACACATAGTACTATGTGTCCCCAGTTATTTACAAACATTGGAGTAATCAGATGATAACTCCAGTGTTTGTGCTGCCCTGAGGATTGGTACATATCACTGATATGTACCGATCCTGCTCTCGGCCATGCACACAGCCGCTCTCCTTCCCAGCGGCTCCGCTCTCCTCCCTGCCCGCCGCTCTCTCATGCCGCTAGATTACCGTGATTGAGCGGCTCACTCCCCCTGCCGGCCAACATTAGTACAGTGCCATCCAGTACCAATGTAATTCAGTACGAGCTTAATCCTGTACAGTGCCTATACAGCAAAAACCAGTGGCAGCCAGTACCAGTGCCAGAGTCATCCAGTACCTGTGTCATCCAGAACCAGTGCTATTCAGTACCAGTACCAGCCAGTTTAATCCAGTACCAGAGCCAGCTAGAACCATTGCCTATACAGCCAGTACCAGTGTCAAACAGTACCAGTGCCTGATTACTACCAATTACAGACATTTTGTGGGTGTTTCACCTGTTCTGCCACTCCAGAAATGTGAATGGTAGTCAGGAAATCAGATGCATAATTGATGCCCCTTGAAAGCCTGAAGGTGCTCCTTGGATTTGGACCCCTCTTTGTCACTAGATTGCCAAACAGTATCACACATGCCATTGTTATATTTGGGAGGAGTTGCAGAATGTGTTCTGCAGTGTAATTCTAATTCTGCCCATGCTGTGTGTGAGAAATATCTTATTAAAATTACAACTGTATGGAAAGGTTTTTTAAAGACTAAATAATTTACACTCAGAGTTTTTACCAAAGAAGTGTAGCAGAATACATTTTGGACTAAATTTGTGAAAAAATATTACTTATTTGATTTGTTTTATAACATACATTAAACAAGGGAAACAGGGTTTTTTTAAACTTTTTTTTTCTTTATATATAGGCTGACTATATTTCCTTGATCCGAAAACGGGACATTGGGATGGCAAAAACGTGATGGTTTTAATATACAGTATTCATGAAATAGTAAGATGATAAAAACGTTTTATGACAATATAGTAGATGTGTACAGCATAAAGTTTTGGACAAAAGTAGTTGTTATGCTGTTTCGGATTCAGAGGCAATGAGCCTCCGAATCCAAAACTGCACATTGAAAAACAAAAATTAATTGATTTGGCAGTTCGTTCGAATCCAAATGCACATCTCAACAATCAACAATTATTCTTGTTGTATGCCTATACATAACTTCCTCCCAGTCAGTGCTACCGCAGAGCAAGAATGAGCGCCGGCGGAGACTTCTTAGTAGTGCGCTCTGTGCGCCTCCTTAATGAGACCAGCTGGCCGCATGGATGTAGAAGGTAAGGCCGGCCACAGTTGCAGTCGTTTTAACATTTAAATCAACGCAGCCAGCCAGTCTGATTAAGGAGGCGCACAGACTCAAAACGCACTCCGAAGAAGGAAAATGGTAAAGGTGCACCAAAATAACGTTTTGAAAATAAAAATGTCAGGCTGAAATGGTAAATATTTTTTTCTAACCTTTTTAAAAAAAATTATACTTTATTTTTATATATTTATTTATTTATTTGTATTAAATTTTATTTTTTAACTTTACTGCTGGGAGCTTCAGTGAAATATCAGGGGTTTAAACAGACCCCTGATATTTCCCTTTTGAAATAGAAAAGAGATTGAAGACACAGAGACCTCAATCTTTTTTTTCTGCATCCTCTGTAATAAATTAACAAGAATCCTCTATACTGAGTGTTCTTTTTAAGTTATGCATTGTGGATATAGTGCAAGTTACTATGTACACAATTAGGAATGAATAGGAAGTGATGTAGATCACTTCCTATTCATTCATAACTGGTACATAGTATCCCATACTATGTCCAGTTATTTACAAACATTCAGCGATCACTGGATCACTCTCCATCCTGTATTCACTGTCACAGGAGGGTGAGCCAGTGATGTGGGAGAGGAGCTCGGTCTATTTTGACCGCTGACTCCTCCCCGACACCACCGGCTCGGCATCCTGTGACAGCTGTCTCCACCCCACACAGCTCTCCTGTCACAGAAGGCTGAGCGGGGCAGGAGGAGAGCTCAGCCTCCTGTGACACGCCAATGACAGCACACTCCTCCCCACCCCGCTCAGCTGCCTGAACGTTTCTCTCCTACCTGCTGGACGCTGCGCTGTGTCAGAGGGAACATAGAGCAGCGCCCAGCGGGGAGGAGAGAAATCACAGATGCACTGCAATTTTAGCCAATATTTCGGTGCATCCCTAGAAAACAGGACATTTGGTCAGCCTATTTTATATAGTAAAAAAACCTCAATGGTCTATCATATGCAGACAAACCTGGTAGGTTGATTTACGTACACATTATTGTTATTGTCTGGGTTCTATGTATTCTATTGTTTAATTTTCTGTACATTACCTGCTGTCTCTATTACTGTAATTTCTTTGATGGTGTCCTTTTGGGGGCTGTGGGTGTACAGTGTTTGTGTTAAGGTTTTTACCAAATTATTTTGTATAAATAATTTTGCATAAATAAAGAATTTACAAAAAAAACAGTGGTTATTACAGGTGAAACTCGAATAATTAGAATATCGTGCAAAAGTAATTGCAGTAAGTTAAGCTGCAAAAGGGGCCCAAACCAAGTACTGAGTACATATGCATGCTTGTACTTTTCAGAGGTCCGATATTGTTCTATGTACAATCCTTGTTTTATTGATTGCATGTAATAATCTACTTTTTTGAGGTTGTGGATTTGGGGTTCTTCGGGTTTTCATGAGCTGTAAGCCATAATCATCACAATTATGACAAATCACGGCTTGAACTATCTTGCTTTGCATGTAATGAGTCTATCTCATATATTAGTTTCACCTTTTAAGTTGCATTAGTGAAATAAATGAACTTTGCACGATATTCTAATTATTCGAGTTTCACCTGTAAATACCATCAAATGAAAGTTCTGTCTTGTATCTGTAATTTAATATAAAATTCATTTTGGAACAGTGTTGCATGACAGAGTAGTTGTCAGTCAAGGTATCACAGCACTGAAAACTGAAAAATGGCATGGGTAGGAAGGAAGTTTAACATGCTGCTACTGAAGTGGTTAAGTATGTTGTTTAAATTTTCTACTTCTTAGCCATAACCCTGGGAACAATAAATAGTTTACTAATATGTCACAGTGCATAAAGAAATTTAAAACAAAGTATTATAATATATGAGTTATGCCCTGCTTTTGTCACACCTTAAAACAATACACTATTTCACTTCCTAATGTGTGTTCACAGCCTCCTCCACGCCTTTCCTCCCTCCTCCCATCCCTTGAGTTATCTATCCCAGCGGAATGCTTCTAATGGGAAAGTGCAACTGTTGTGGTGGCTGGATGATTGTGTTCTGCCAGTGCTTTATGAGACTGCTAAAGGGGTTCTGGGCTGGAAATGGTTAGGATATGGATATTAATGGCGTACGCACACTTGGAGCACACTATCTCACTGAAGATGCAGCAACTGGAAGACTGTACAAGAGAGGCAAGCTACTGGGGAGGGTAAGTGAAGGGAGTTTTGTTTATAAATGTTGCAGCTCTATAAGTTTGTATTACGACTAATGTAAATAAATGTAAACATGCAAAAACATGAGAGAGAGCGAGGGCAAGTGAGGGCGAGTGAGAGAGAGAGAGCGAGAGAGAGTGAAATATCAGGGGTTTAAACAGAGAGAGAGCGAGAGAGAGAGTGAAATATCAGGGGTTTAAACAGCGAGAGAGCCAAAGCGAGAGAGAGAGAGCAAAAGAGAGAGAGAGCAAGCGAGATAGAGAGAGCAAGAGAGAGAGAGAGAGAGAGAGCCAGAGTGAGAGAGAGCGAGAGAGAGAGAGCAGGAGAGCGGGAGAGCAAGATACATTTTTTGCTCTCTAAATTATGTTTAGTGATACCGATGATATGAAATTCTTGGGGACAGAATGTCAAGCCATTGTGATTGTCATATGATGAGAGATTGCTGTAAAATGTTAATTATAGCTTTAGTAGCACTCTGGAATGAAGCTTCAGGTTGAAATTGGATGCCTTTCTAGTTTCTCACTTTAAAATTATGTATGAATTGGCACGTGTCATTAGTGACGCCCTTGATCTTATTTTATGTCTTTACAGGGTGCTTTTGGGAGGTGCTACAAATTCACAGATTTGTCGAGTAGGCAAGTGTTTGCAGTGAAAATGATCTTGCATGCAAGAAAATCTGTGATACAGCAAAGAGGAGGGGTGAGAGTAAATGCTTCTTTAAAGCTGAATTATAGCCACAAAATTTTTTATTTAAATGTATTCCTTAATAGCTAGAAATTATATACTGTATGTCCCACCTTTTGTGCACCAAATACTTAGTATTCAAATACCCAGTTATGATCATATAAAAGTAGTGGTGACATCATCACTGTGCTGCACTTAACCTGTGCAGGGAGCTGAGCTGTGAGAGGAGCCCATCAGGCCTATCCATTACAGGCTGCCTGCAGAAAACTACAGAAGCGGTCAGATAAAAGGCCAGTCACCCTGCACAAAGAGAGAGATCAGCTGTGACAGGTCTTTATTACAGAAAACTCCTATACAGAGGTAAAGTTTCTCACTGGACTACTGCACAGTTCTGGAAGAAATACATAAAGCACACCAAGATTCAAGAATTAATTGAATGCACAAAGCTCCTATATTTAGACAATATTTGCATATCACAGAGTTCAGTTTTAATTCTTTCTTGTGCATTGGTTCTTCAATAACATGACAGAAAACAGCTTTTGTTTCTACACCTACACCTGTACCCTCCCATCTGCTATGACCCGAATAAAGAGTGCCCTCAAAATACAGTTTTACCCAATATATTTGGTTATTCTAGAGCATTTCATTATAATTAGCAATTATTTCTGCCTCCTTTTTACCAACTACCGGCCACGGCATTTTATTTCAGTCCGTTTACAAACCCTAGCAGTGGCGTAACAAGGGGGTGCGGATCCCCCCAAATGAACATCCCCTTCTCTCTCTGCCGGTGGCCATCTTGGTGGTGGACGCCGGTAGAGAGAGGAGGGGATGTTAAGTGCATGTGACATCATTATGTGCGAGCGGTCGTCATTAAGTCACACGCACAGGGCAGCCTTCAGACATTTCGGGGCCCCTTACATGGCCTGGTGTGCCAACCCCCCATCCATCCATCAACCAACCCCCCGCGCGCGCACCGCTGCTACGCTGAGCCAGTCACACTGTTATTATTATACATATATATAGCTCTGACATAAATATTGCAATTCTGTACAGAGAACACTGAGCCAGTTAAATCAGTCTCTGTACAGTGGAGCTTACACTCTAATGTCCCCCCACAATCACACACTATGATTATTCATGTATATTGCTGTGACAAATACCGCAGTGCTGTACAGAGAACACTGAGCCAGTCACGTCACTCAAGCTTGGAGTGGTGGAAGCAAACAAAAACAAAAAAACAAAACAATACTGTGGTGTGCAATATAGTGAAATGTAAAATTATACAGCAATCAATGCAGAATGGCACCGGCTATAGAGCACTACAAATCCCAGCAATCATACATTATACAGCGCAATGGAGAATACCACCAGCTATAGAGGAATACAACAAATCCCAGCAATACAATATACATACAGTGTGTAGTGTAATGCTGGGATTTGTGGTCCCCTATAGCTGATGGTACATATACAGCACAATATACCATCAGCTATAGAGCAATACAACAAATCCCAGCAATACATTTATACAGCACACTCTTCAAGCAACTTTACTTTCTTCCGAGATCTTGGGACTGTCGGCAGCTGCCGCTCCCCCACGCTGCAGTCTCCCTGCAACGACGTGATCATCTTGGCGGGCAGCGGTGGGAGAGAGCTCAGAGCTGTGAGGAGGTGCGGCGTGAAGCGTGCGGTGCGTGTGGACCCGCAAACAGGCGCAACTAATCGAAAGCCAACTTATCAATAATGGAAAACGTTGACAACATTTTCCATCATTGATTTTAATAGACTCAGTCGATTAGTTGTTTTGCGGCCCCGGTCCCATCAGTCTCTGTACAGAGGAGCTTACACTCTAATGCCCCCCCCCACAGTCACATCAGTCTCTGCACAGAGGAGCTTACACTCTAATGTCGTCGTCCCACAGTCATATCCGCTGGATGCAGGGCTTCGTGACCCGCTGGACTCAGGGCTTCGCGACCCGCTGGACTCAGGGCTTCGTGACCCGCTGGACTCAGGGCTTCGCGACCCGCTGGACTCAGGGCTTCGTGACCCGCTGGACTCAGGGCTTCGCGACCCGCTGGACTCAGGGCTTCGTGACCCGCTGGACTCAGGGCTTCGCGACCCGCTGGACTCAGGGCTTCGTGACCCGCTGGACTCAGGGCTTCGCGACCCGCTGGACTCAGGGCTTCGTGACCCGCTGGACTCAGGGCTTCGCGACCCGCTGGACTCAGGGCTTCGTGACCCGCTGGACTCAGGGCTTCGCGACCCGCTGGACTCAGGGCTTCGTGACCCGCTGGACTCAGGGCTTCGCGACCCGCTGGACTCAGGGCTTCGTGACCCGCTGGACTCAGGGCTTCGCGACCCGCTGGACTCAGGGCTTCGTGACCCGCTGGACTCAGGGCTTCGCGACCCGCTGGACTCAGGGCTTCGTGACCCGCTGGACTCAGGGCTTCGCGACCCGCTGGACTCAGGGCTTCGTGACCCGCTGGACTCAGGGCTTCGTGAACCCGCTGGACACTAGACATGTGCACCGGCAAAAAAATTGTTTCGCTTCATCTTGTTTTGATTTGGATTTTGCATTATTTTGTTTTTCGGGATTCAGACGAAATTCGTTAGCGGTAGGTTGTACGAATGTTCATTTCCGTTTCATGTTCGTATCATTGCAGCAAAGTGACTTTAAAATTGTTTTTTTTTTTTTAATTGTCACTTTGCTGCAATGAAAATTCGTCCACAAACGAAAATGCATACAGACTACCGCTAACGAATTTCTTCCGGAAAACTAATTTTTCGGAAACGAATCGCACATGTCTACTGGACGCAGGGCTTAGGGTTAGTTCACACCATAAGCAGTGTGCTTATTCTGGCCAGAACACACTGCCTGTATTGCGGCCGGCTCACTTTTTTGCTGGGCTGGAGGGGGCCATTGAGGTGAATGGTTCCGTAGCCACGCCCTCCGGCTGCAATGCGATCGCCCGCACGGGATCACAAGGCACATTGTGCCTGCAGTGCGTTAGGGTGCGGTGCGATCAAAATAGTGCAGCATTTTGACCACACCAGACCGCGGGCACAAGGTGCCCTGCGATCCCGTGTGGGCGATCACATTGCGGCCGGAGGTCTTCAATGGCCCGCCACGCCCCTTCCTGCCTGGCAAAAAAGTGAGCCAGCCGCAATGCGATGCAGTGCGTTCCGATCGGAGCACACTGCAAGTGGTGTGATAGTCAGCGGCGGCAGCACCACGAGGGAGCGATCAGTATGATCTGCATCAGCAAGAGATGCAGATCATACTGATTCCCCACTGGACCACCAGGGAATGATTTTCATTTAATATATTGCCGGTTTGGCAAAATATTAAATGTAATGTGGGCACTTGCCAGGTTTAAAGGCCAGGCTACTCGCGGTGGCCATCTTTAAAAACCTAATGTGCAGTGGAGGCCCCCTGGGGACACCGGATACCCGCACAGAGTACCTCAGGTGAGGATATGAAGTGTGCGGGCCCCGGCTTCCTCCGGTGCTGCGGGGGCCTGGCAGCCTCCACCTCCCGCCAGGCACCTGTATGGTCGTCGGTCGATACTCATGTAAGGTTCCTGGGCCCCTCAGGCTGCCCGGGCCCCTTACATGAGTACCGGCGGTACCCCCCTGACGGCGGCCCTGCACATGCATGTGCAATGACATGCCACCTAGTGAAACCTGGTGGCTGCACCGGGTGACACCCGGCATGGTGTACAGCTCTGGTTTGAATAGTTAATGTTTGTTAAATGATGATGTGTTTATTTTGTGATTAAACCTATGGATCTGGTTTTCTACACCGAATAAACTTTGATCATACATATAAAGTGACATGTAAACAGGTGCTTTCCTCTGATACAATGTACCACCATACTACTTTATTTTTTAAAGTGAACCTGTGGCCAGGCTTTGGACATTCAATTATTTACATTTTCTTAAGAAGCAGTGATGGCAGAATAAGTGTTATGACAAGCCCTCATTGGCATCTGTAGTTGCAGGCATATGGAGCAAGTAATTTTTAAAGTTAACAGAGGCACGGTTCTAGTCAGTTTCCTCAATAGATGTAGCTCACCTCGCTTCCTCTCCCAACATACTCTTTGTTAACATTTGAATGCTTCTGTCGCACTGCTAAATCTTTTGAGAAAATAACTAGAATCCAACTACAATGCCTCTGTTATGAATTTTCAGAATGAATTGCACCACAGTGCCTGCAGCCAGAGCCAGTTTAAAAGTTAATTTACTGCTTGTTAAAGCTAAATTCTGGAAGTTTTTAAGAAAATACCCATGCAGTGCATGGGGTAAATGCGTGTGGGGACACGAATAAGCTGCAACTTACAATATTCCTCAGTCTGGCAGGCTTCCACCAGGCAGTGTGACCAGTCCCCCAAAGCCTCTTGTCTTTGGCACTCTGGCTGGTGATCCCTTTCTGATGTCATCACATACAATGCAGGACCAGCAGCCCTGCACTGTACCCGAGGATGGTGAGGGTCCATCCACAGTCTGCAGAGAGAAGATGTGTGTTGGTGAGAAGAGGAGCGCTCTGGAAGACTGCTGGAGTAATGAATAGTAATGAGTATTACAACTTTTTCCTCCGCTCCTTCAACTTTATGAATATGTAAATGAATATCCATAGCCTGGCCATAGGTTCATGTTAAAGAGTATTGAGGTTAAAAGAGAACTAAAGCCAGAACTTTTTTTTGGCTTTAGCCCTCTTTGGGTTTAAAGGAGTACATTTTATAATTTATTCCTTTGACCTAAAGTCAGCATATAGCAGGCTAATGCCTGGTCAGAGTGGCACTGCAGCCAGGAAAGTTCCCATCAATATTGTCGGGCTCCACCCTGCTGCCTTTTTGACAGCTGGCTCTGCCTCTCTAGAGCCAGAGCCAGGTGTGCCTGCCCCTCTCCTGTCTGTCCCTCCAATGAGCACTGGAGGAACAGGGAGGGGGAGAGGGAAATCCCTGCGGGGAGCGGTGACCGACAGTCACCACTATCTGCATGGAGAAGACTGTGAGCTGAGTGATCAGTGGTTCTCGAGCTTTAAAGCTGACGTGTGACAGCTGCAGTGTCACACCATGGCTCAAACTATTGGGAAGAGTACATTTTACTCTCCCACTACTGCTCCTTTAATATATTGTGTTATTGTATACATTTCCTATATGTTGAGGACTTAAAGCAATTTTTATAAACCTATGTTTTCTGTTCATAAGTCATGTAAACTATTGTATATTAATATTACATATTTGCCACTCGAAACCAGCAGTCGACGCTTCCAGGTAATGTAGAAGCTTGCTGCTAAGCCACCTATTCCTATTGGCTTACCACAATGATTGGCAGCCTTACTGACCAATAAGAATGTGATAATTGAGGAGACAAGAAGAGGTGGGCAAGTTTCAGCACTATATGGAGGTCCCAAAGCCTTTCCTGCCAGAACAGCCACTATTTAGCCATAGTGTATTTAGGTAAAGCCTGTGCTTTATGCCGGCAGCAATTGTTTTAATTACAGATTCTCTTTACCGAGTCAACGAAGGACTTGCCCGCATCCTTATCCTCACACTACTTTGTCTGGATTTTCAGTTAGGCTGAGGCAGTCAGATAGTGAGCAAGTAGTGCTGGACTTTTTCTTCAGAATTTTCAGACTGCTCTGCAAAATCTGTGTCTAACCGTAAAGTAATGTAGCACTCACCCCCGAGGGAGTAAATAACTGGTAGTTCTGATTTTTTTTTTGCTAACTATGTCCCATTAGGGAATGTCTCTCACACTTTCTGTGCCAGAGACTCAACAGAAAAAAAGGAGACATCTCTAAGCATAGAATTCCACTCTTAAACACATCTTAACAGTTTCACTGTGGCAGATGTCCACATCGAAAGATATCCCTTCTACCTCTTGTTCTGCTGATAGCTGTAACATTTTAGATTTCCCATCACTTTGTGTCATAGTGATAATGTCTGCCAGGACAAATAGAGAAGCTGACCCTCTCTAAGGGTGACACAGTCAACAATAAAAACCTCATAGGGGTTCTAGCCATTCCACACTACATCCAAAACTAAACTAAAAGTTTTGGCAATACATAAATATTAACTAAGAAGATATCAAGTCTCTAGGGATACAGAGTAAGTGTAATTGGGGAAGGATTAGAACTCCTTCCAGGTTTTATGTCTATTCTAGGCTCAGTTGTTTGCCCTTACTCACCGTCCCAAGAACAGCCTTTTCACCAGACAGGAAGTAAAGGAAACTCTGCAACAACAACACAGACAGAAGAAAAGAATGGGGTTTTTTTTAGGTCAAATAGGGGAGTGCTAAAACTCCTGGGAGCTTTTTATTGTGGTCGGTTTCCCTGTTGCAGATTTTCCCTCACTTCCTGCCTAGTAAAATGTTATCCTCAGAACATAAAGTGAAGGGAAATCTCTCGAATGGAGCCCCAAATAGCAGTAAAGCTTGACATAGGTCAAAAATGTTCCCAATCTATCCAAATCTAAAAAACAAAAACAAAAAACACCAGTTTTGGCTATGAATACTCTTTGTTAAAAAAATATTTTCAGGGTCTATTTCTTTTGAATTACAATCCATATACCCATCTCACTCCTGATCGCTGTTCCATGAAGATTAGGTGGGTGCAACGGTAGTCAATGGATGGCCATCGTCTCTATGCATAAATAAGAATATGGAGTGCCGGTGTCCATATTCTTATTTGTATTAAATATCTCTTTTAATTAATGTGTACAGTATATCCCACTTCAAAAAAGTAAAATTGCTGTTGAGGGTTAACAGATACCAACTGCCAACATATTGATGAGAAGGGCTGATATACTGTATAATCAGTTGGACAAGTAAACTCTAAAATAACTAAAGTACTTTAGGCATTGGTCAGGTTAGAGAATTGGCATACAACTTGCAGACACCTAAGGTGCCCATACATCTGCCGATTATCGTACGATAATCAGCAGGTGTTTGGAAGGCTTGCGACTGTTTCTACTGTACGTCTTTTGTCTTCCTAGCACGCTGGAAAACCTGCCGAATGTGCAAGCGCACACTGCCCGCTCAGCATTGCAGTCATCGGAAGCCCTCCCCTCAGCGGCACATGGCATCACATGGCAGCATGCAGACCTTCACAAAACTAGTACAGGTCACTTGGATCTTCCAATTGTCTTGGAAATTTGGAAAAAGTGCTCTTTATTACTGTTGTATGCTAAGGCTATTTATTATTTATGTATTTATTTATCTTTAGTTAAAACTCCAGTAGCATGTCCATTTATCTCATGACAGTTAATCAGACAAGCCTAAAGCTGGGTCTTGCATTAGTGACTCTTTAGCATTTCTCAGCCCATGACAAAACACATGTTTACTAAAGTTCTGTTCATCTCAGCCTATTGGCCAACCTCAACAATGCTAAACATTTTACCAAATAGTTCTACCAAATTGCGAAGTTCTTTAATGTTAAAAATAGATAAATACTGCTGTGTAAAATCCTTGAAGACATTAGTTCAAAACTGGTCCTCCATTACAATTACAAAGCTTAAATAACAACACAGAACAGATGCAGACTATTATTATTATACAGGATTTATAACAGTTTGCTCATCGCTTTACATTATAAGGGAGACATTACAATTACAATACAATTCAAGACAAGATGGTAAGGAGTATCAGAAGCATGTTTGTTTTCAGCACAATCACTCTTTTCTCATCCTATGCTGTGAAATTAAGGCTAACAACTTGTCTATCTTGTTTACATGTATAATAGAATATGGTGCACTGTAGTAGTTATTTGACCTGTGCAAAAGATTGGCTTTGAAGAAGTGTAGCACAGTGTCCCTGGGTTAGGTAGTTCATGCTATATACCATATTTCTTTTCAAGGCCCAGAGAGATAAAAAATGAAATCACCATGACGAGGTAGATCCATGGGGTTAGTACGTCTTGCTAATCGAACGGCTGGGTATTCCTGCCCATTACATCAATTTTACATCGCATTGTTCTTTAGACAAATTTCAGTATTTCCTAGTCACTGTCAGAAAACAAGTACACAAGTCTGGTGTTCTGACTAGCCGAAAGCTTATCCCAGGTTATTCATTCAGAAGGTATTGAAAGCGGAGACATCCAAGCAACTAGCATTTACAGAAAGAAATTGGCAATGGGTCACTTTATACTTATCTTGTTGCAGGTTTCCTCTACATGATAAAAAAATTAATTTCTCAGAAACAAAATATTTGCTGTCTATAAATATGACGTTTCTTGTTGGGAATGATGGCATATTGGGTGTAGCAGTCCCTCTAAAGTCATTGTATTTTTTCAGTACATTTAGACCAATCATTTCAAAATGTTCTTTGTTAACAGGTTGACAAAGAAATTGAGCTCCACAGTCAGTTAAAACATAGAAACATTGTCAAGTTTTACCACCATTTTCAAGACCAAAAGTACGTGTACTTGGTGCTAGAGTACTGCAGACACAAGGTGAGTATATTTCTTTCCTAGCTGTAATTACAGTACATTTTACCTGTTTATAATAGGTTTTATGTTTATTGTCAATAATACAAACATAGTGCACTCAGTTCATTAAAATTACATTATATCACCACTACTTATTTTATCTCATGATGGTTTTCTCTTACAAAATGTTCAATTCACAAATGTAAATCTCACCAAGATCTAAAACATTTTTACATGAAACTTTTATCTTTATTTTCTCTCATGAAGTGTTATTTTATCACCATCTTAAGGGGCTCTTTTTCCTTATCATAGACTTATATTGAAACTCCCATTTATCACCAGCCCGAGGCTAGTGTTATTCCAAGTAGTGATAATCTATGTGTTAATCTTTGTGAATGGACTTTCACATTGATTTTTTCATAAGGGCCGATAAAATAACACTGATGATGTTATAATAGTACTAGTAGTGCTAAAATACCACTACTTACAGTGCTGACTAAATAAAGTGTGTTATACATCTATGTGAATGAAGATACAGGGTGTAATATTTAGAAATTGCTAGCCAAATAAGAGAAAAACAACTTTTTGAATTTGGCTTATAAAGTAAGGATGATCCTTAGATGAACAGATATCTCATGGATAGTAACGGTCAATGAGAGATCTAGCTTCCACTATACCAATCACCACTCTTGTGGACCATTAAAACATTTCTCCTTAATGTAAGTTAAATTATACTGAGGCACACAGATGGTGAAAGAATTGCTATCCTTTTCTGGAGAGACAAAACAGTGGCTACCTAACAGTTGCCCATGCCTGTACACTACCCAGTTTTTGAAAGCCCATACACAGTAAAACATTGAAAACAATAAACCCAAAAAAACTCATAACAAAACTTAAAAATAAAGCTAACTATCCTAAAGGGGTCTTTATAAATTTTTCCAGTTATATCAGTGATGATCTTTTTGTTTAAGGGCCCATTCACACCCAATGCATTGGGGCTATGCTGACCATTTTTTCCACTGCAGCCACAACACATTGCAACGCAATTTGCATTGCAGTGGCGTGCCCTGAAAAAAGTTCAGTCTTTTTTTCAGCACAGTGCAGTACAACACGGTACAACCACATCACACTTCGCTGTATCCATAGATCTTAATTAAATGTCACTTGTCAAATTGTCAATGTCACTTGTCACATTGTCAATTTCAATAAATTTCTAACAAAAAAGTAAATACTGTGATGTATGGCGATCAAGTACATCAGCACTGTGCTGGGCATATGCACACCAGCAGCCATGCAGTGTAGCAAATCACTCCCTCTTAGACCTCTACCCCCCAAATCCCCCCCAGTACAGATCTCTGACCCCAAGATCCCCACAGTTAAGACCCCTCCCCCAAATCCTCCCAGTACAGACTTCTCCCCCCAAATCCCCCCCAGTACAGATCTCTGACCCCAAGATCCCCACAGTTAAGACCCCTCCCCCAAATCCTCCCAGTACAGACTTCTCCCCCCAAATCCCCCCCAGTACAGATCTCTGACCCCAAGATCCCCACAGTTAAGACCCCTCCCCCAAATCCTCCCAGTACAGACTTCTCCCCCCAAATCCCCCCCAGTACAGATCTCTGACCCCAAGATCCCCACAGTTAAGACCCCTCCCCCAAATCCTCCCAGTACAGACTTCTCCCCCCAAATCCCCCCCAGTACAGATCTCTGACCCCAAGATCCCCACAGTTAAGACCCCTCCCCCAAATCCTCCCAGTACAGACTTCTCCCCCCAAATCCCCCCCAGTACAGATCTCTGACCCCAAGATCCCCACAGTTAAGACCCCTCCCCCAAATCCTCCCAGTACAGACTTCTCCCCCCAAATCCCCCCCAGTACAGATCTCTGACCCCAAGATCCCCACAGTTAAGACCCCTCCCCCAAATCCTCCCAGTACAGACCTTTTCCCCCCAGTATAGCCTTCTCTGCCCCAGTACAGACCTCTTCCCACCTCCAGTACAGTCCACTGACCACGTGCTTAGTCTGCTTAGCCGATCTGGGCTGTCATGGTGTTGGGATCCAGGGCATCGAGCAAGAGATGCAGGGCAGGTGGTCCGGGTGCCTGGTGCTAGCGACGCCCTAGCATTGCACTCCTTGGCAGCTGTTAACAACTCCAGGGGTTCTTGTTTCAAGGGGACAGACCCCTGAAAAACTAGGCCTGTGCCTGGGAAACAGGGATGAACGGTAACCTTACTTTGACCAGTCTCCTTTTTACATTGTGAGTCTTTTGAGTTGCATACTATTATTCTTTTCTGTCATTTTTCTGCAGTCTCTTGCTCACATCTTGAGCATAAGAAAACTACTGACAGAACCTGAAGTGCGATATTACATGACGCAGATATTACATGGGGTACAATTCTTGCATCTTCATAGGATAATCCACAGGGATCTGAAGCTGAGTAAGTAAAATATGCCATTGTTATTCACATAATAGAGAAAGAAGCCACACGGTGACACATTGACCTTAGTCTTACTTCTTTCCTTCTATTTATGCACCCTTCCCTTCATGCTATTTTGACCATAACTTCTTTTCCTTTTACCATTTCTTACTTCCCTGTGTTTTCCTACATAAGTGCTTCATCATGGGACCTATAGTGCCCATTGTGCCATTTTTTTAGCAATCCTGTCTCCGATTTAAATATAAAAAAAGTTAGTTATGTTTTTATTCCAAAAGGGTAGACAGACAGTAGTGGTAATATAGGGTTGATTTCCTAAAAGCAAATAGGCTTAGAAAGTGAATAGCCTATTTGCATTTAATAAATCAACCCCTATGCCGCCATAATCATTACACAAATTCAACATTTCAACCCCTAATAACGGACAATAATAAAACTGAAGACATACAAAACTCATTTTTATAAATAACTTGGTGCAAGACATTTACAAGTAACTGGCAGCTGAATCCATTAGCATTTCTTGGTGGGGAATATGTCCCATAAAGTATTTCTCAACCAACAAGTTGCTTATTATTGATGTTGAATCTATTTAGCTTCACTGTGAATGAATTCAGGCAATAGCTGCTTGAGTCAGATGCTGCTGAGACAGGAGTTTTACCTTCTGACAAATTGCTGGACAAAAACAAGTTTACAGGACATTATAGTCAGCCATGTTTGCCCTCAAGCAAAATCTCAGTCACTTGTTACATCTTTACTAATGCAACTTTAATAATTCACTAAGCAATGACAATGTTTAATGTAAATCTCTCCAAATTGTGCAGTCTGGCGTGCAGCAGATGTATAGAATACACTTTTTTATGAACATATTGAGCATGCACTGTCACCTGGGTGGTCTGCTGCTTTCATTTCACAACAGTTTGCAAATATTTTCAAAACAAAAACAGAAAAGTTACGTAGTGTCTCCTCAAAATATTCAGTCAGTCTGTCTCCAAAAATAGGGCATTCCACACACATACTCAGAGCATTTGGCACTTCATAAGTCTACATGTAATAAAACCGAGAACCACTCACATAATCCCCATCTTCATTGCATCTCAGTGTGTCGGTTGACAAATGATACTTTTAGCTGTTTACACATCTACTTCATTCATTCATAGCTTTAGTCATTGACAGGTCAGCCATGCAGGGCAAATGAAAGTATATCTATGGTCGAAAACTAAAAATAAATATGTATTTCTATATTGAATTTCCATAAGTTCTATTTTACGCCCAATAGCCAAATCAATATAGAAGTTTGTAAACTTACCTATTGAAGATGCCCGTAGGATGTACTTCCTCAATGCACTGACACAGTTTCACTCTGTGAATATGCACTTTTTAATGTCACCACTCTAACCAAGCCTGTCGTCTGAACTTCAGACAATGTAACATCATCATTGCTTGCCAAAAGCAATGCATGGTGGGATACATAGTCTTGAGAAATCAAGATTGCATCACATCAAGCAGCACGGAAAGAGATGTAAAGCACACAGGGAATCCAGGAAATTGTTGAAAGTGGTGGGCAGACGGAAGGCAGCACTCACTACATAAAAGGGATTTTTTTTTCATGTAAGCAATATGTAATATCTATATTTAATGCAGGCCCGTCTTTAATACTGATTGGACCCTGGGCAAGCATTTTCTTGGGCCCTAAAAGGCAATAAAACTCACAGTAAAGTGCAGTGTGTACGAGTATATCACAAAAACTTAGGCTAGATTCAGATATGGGCGATCCCGGGTCTGCGCGATTGTGCACAATTGCACACAGCGATTGCCGTGCGGCCCCATTGATTTCAATGGGGTTACAGCCACACAACAATCGCTACAAAAAAGGTACACATGACACACGGCTTTTTTAGCCCTGATCGTATTTAATTGCACGGCCAGTATTGCGGTGGGAAACCTCACGATCCGCCTGGCGTGACTGAGGTGCCATTAGAAAATAATGGCACCGCCAGTGCGATCAGCAGTGGTGGGCAATTATGTGACCAAACAGAAGGCCGCACAGTCACATTTTTGCCCACCACTGCCAATCACACTGGTGGTGCCATTGTGCACGATTGCCGCAGGTTCATGGATCGCCCAGGTGTGAATCTAGCCTGACAGTAATGTGCAGTGTGTATGAGTATATCACTAAGCTTCACAGCAACAAGACTCACAGTAATGTGCAGTGTGTGAGTGTATAGCAGAGCTCCACAGGAATACTATGCATATTAACTTCCTGTTCACACCAATTGCGGTGCGTTCCAGAGCAGTAGCTGCTGGAACACAAAGCAATTGAACACCAAATTTCCCCCTTTGTTCTGGGGCGGGAGGGGGCATATGGTGCATTGAAGTCAATAGCACCGCAGCCACACCTCCGTCTGCAGTGCAATCGGACGCATGGCAAAACGTTTGCACTAGACCGGAATGCAGGCAATGTTTTGCCATGCATCCGATCGCAGTGCGGGTGGGGGCGTGGCTGCAGTGCCATTGACTTCAATGCACAGCCACGCCCCCTCCCACCCCAGAACACAGGGGGAAATTTAGTGTGCAATAGGCCCCTGTAATTTATAGGGCCCCGGGCAGATGCCCCTTTTGCCCTGCGGTAAAGACGGCCCTGATGTAATGGAATAACACAATAGTATATGCTGGGACTTTAGAACATCTTTAATAGGTTCACCTTAAGTGTATCTTAAAAGGAGAATTATGAGGTGAGTGATTTTCACTCAGCCTCATAATCTGAGCCGACCTGTGACAATGAAACTGTCACAGGTTGGCTCAGTAGATCTGGAAGTGAGCGAACACATACCGGCGCTCGCTCACTTCTCGATCCTGTGCCGGCAGAGAGCCGTGACAGGGGAGGGACTGGATTCCCCCCTCCCCTGTCCGATCCTGCAGCGCTGACTGGCGGAACGGACGGGGGAGAGGGCGGGTACAGCTGGTTCTGCCTCTAGATAGGCAGAGCCAGCTGTCACTCATGCAGCTGGGTGGATCCAGACATAATTGTCGGGATCCGTTCTGGCTGCGGCATCTGAGCTTTGGGTGACGGGAGGACACTAGTTTGTGTCCTCCCGTTACCCTTAGGAGAACTATGGGGAAAAGCCCTAACCCCATAGTTCTCCTTTAGGCCAAAACTTGAGCAGCTTGAAGAAGTGTTAAAACCCCTACCAAGTTGCTTATTTTATCATTATTTTTGACTCAATTAATGCAAGTCAGATGGACTATATGAATAGAACAAATTATATATCAGATTATTATTAAGAGCAGAATAATGCATTGGAAATATAACACCAGCCAAATGTTTAGTCAGTTATCTGATCATGTTGGGCATTTCTGTTAATGCTTATCAAAACTTAAGTGTAAATTGTATGCAATGTTTATGATAAAAAAAATCTTCAAATAAAGAAAACTGACAGATGTGCTAGACAGTGGCTTGATTTTAATGTACTACTTCAATGAACTCTCTGTCCCTTTGTGCTCTAATGCACACATGTCAGAAATTCTAAGAACTACAAATATAAAACTCAGACTGATACTTAGCATTGCTGTTTTTAGCAAGTGTTTCAGCACTCTATTTATTCTAGCTATGTCCATAGCTTCTGTCTGCACAGCGAGTTCAAAAGGGCACCTTTCAACTTACAGTCTATTTACAAACACAGAACATTTGCATTAGCATGCAAATTATCAAAAACTCAAACTCTATGCAGGACTACATAGTAGTGCATGTCTATAAACAGACATGTGATTGAACGGATTCAAACCAGATATAAAAAAATGTCATGCAGTACATCTTTGCAATCCATGTTTTATCTCTTTAACCACTTGTACTCTTGTACCTCTATACCCATTCTAAACCAGAGCACTTTTCACATTTCCAATATGGGCATATACAATATCTCACAGAAGTGAGTACACCCCTCACATTTTTGTAAATATATTATATCATTTCATGTGACGACACTGAAGAAATTACACTTTGCTACAATGTAAAGTAGTGAGTGTGCAGCTTGTATATCAGTGTACATTTGGTGTCCCCTCAAAATAACTCAAAACACAACCATTAATGTCTAAACTCCTGGCAACAAAAGTGAGTACACCCCTAAGTGAAAATGCCCAAATTGGGCCCAATTAGCCATTTTCCCTCCCCAGTGTCGTGTGATTTGTTAGTGTTACAAGGTGTCAGGTGTGAATGGGGAGCAGGTTTGTTAAATTTGGTGTTAACGCTCTCACTCTTTCATACTGGTTACTGGAAGTTCAACATGGCACCTCATGGCAAAGAACTCTCTGAGGATCTGAAAAAAATAATTGTTGCTCTACATAAAGATGGCCTAGGCTATAAGAAGATTGACAAGCCACCGAAACTGAGCTGCAGCACGGTGGCCAAGACCATACAGCGGTTTAACAGGACAGGTTCCACTCAGAACAGACCTCGCCATGGTCGACCAAAGAAGTTAAGTGCATGTCCTCAGCGTCATATCCAGAGGTTGTCTTTGGGAAATAGACGTATGAGTGCTACCAGCATTGCTGCAGAGGTTAAAGGGGTGGGGGGTTAGCCTGTCAGTGCTCAGACCATATGCCGCACACTGCATCAAATTGGCTATCGTCCCAGAAGGAAGCCTCTTCTAAAGATGATGCACAAGAAAGCCGGCAAACAGTTTGCTGAAGACAAGCAGACTAAGGACATGGATTACTGGAACCATGTCCTGTGGTCTGATGAGACCAAGATAAACTTATTTGGTTCAGATGGTGTCAAGGCGGCAACCAGGTGAGGAGTACAAAGACAAGTGTGTCTTACCTACAGTCAAGCATGGTGGTGGGAGTGTCATGGTCTGGGGCTGCATGAGTGCTGCCCGCACTGGGGAGCTACAGTTCATTGAGGGAACCATGAATGCCAACATGTACTGTGACATACTGAAGCAGAGCATGATCCCCTCCCTTCGGAGACTGGGCCGCAGGGCAGTATTTCAACATGATAACGACCCCAAACACACCTCCAGGATGACCACTGCCTTGCTAAAGAAGCTGAGGGTAAAGGTGATGGACTGGCCAAGTATGTCTCCAGACCTAAACCCTATTGAGCATCTGTGGGGCATCCTCAAATGGAAGGTAGAGTAGTGCAAGGTCTCTAACATCCACCAGCTCCGTGATGTCGTCATAGAGGAGTGGAAGAGGACTCCAGTGGCAACCTGTGAAGCTCTGATGAACTCCATGCCCAAGAGGGTTAAGGCAGTGCTGGAAAATAATGGTGGCCACACAAAATATTGACACTTTGGGCCCAATTTGGAAATTTTCACTTAGGGGTGTACTCACATTTTTTTGCCAGCTTTTTAGACATTAATGGCTGTGTGTTAAGTTATTCTGAGGGGACAGCAAATGTACACTGATATACAAGCTGTACACTCACTACTTTACATTGTAGCAAAGTGTAATTTCTTCTGTGTCGTCACATGAAATGATATAATAAAATATTTACAAAAATGTGTGGGGTGTACTCACTTCTGAGAGATACTGTATATGCAGCTATAATGTTGTCATTAATTGAATAAAGTATTTAAGTAAACTAGGCTTCTTTGGCAATATTGTCTTGTAAAAATTGTTTTGCTTTCTATGTAATCTTTAGACAGAGTTAAAAAAAATGGGAAAAAAGGGTTTTTTTTTCTATTTTGACCAGTGTTCATTTAGAAAAAAAGTAGGTTTACTTTTAATAAAAAATATAGATTTTATTCTATAATTTGTCCCTTTTAGAATAACATTAAAATATATGTTTCTGAAACAAAGCAATGCAAATGTATTTGCAAATTAAAAAATTTTCTTGTTCGCAACACTAAAAAAAAAATGAAAACACACAAAATGTATTATTAATGGTAAGAAATAGAAAAAAAAATAAGTAGAAAAATAATAGCTAAAAGGGAGAAGAGGGAAATAGTTAATTAGGGCTGACTAGGGTTAACTAAGGTTAATAAGGTGTTACATAGGAATACATAGGAATATTCCGTAATATTCTAAAATTGTAAAAGAATATTCGATGCAATATGGCAACCGTTGCTGTACAGTACGCCCCCAGAAATGTAATTTCCTGCGTGTGTTTGATTAGCTGACTGATTTTCCCAGAAGTCTGCACTAGGATGCAAGTCAAATTTTAGTCATTCCTTGCAAAAATGAAATTTTTTGTGAGATACAAGGGTTAACTACTTTTAAAGGGATGCTCACACAGCAGTTTTCCTCATTAGAACACTGAAAGTGCACCATGTATGATTGTTTCCATAACTGAAAATCACATGTATAGAGAACTATTTTAGCACCTTTCATACAAAATGCATATCACATTTTGTATTTTAACATCAGTGTTGGCATGGGATGGAATGACCTTTTGCCCTAATCATTACTTAGAACTTGAGGAACATTTCATACTATGAGATGGAAAAGGGAAAGTGGGTATTAACTGTTCATTGGCTAGCTTTCTGTTTTAACGTTGCAGTATTCAGCATAGATTTATTTAACTGTGTACAAAGTATTTTCTTTTGAGACTTCATAGTTCATGTCCATGAACAACTAATAACGCAAAAAGCAGATAATAAGCAGGTAGCCAGTTTTCATTGTTGAGGAGTAACTCCATTTTTGTTGAGAAAAAAAACAATCCCCCCTGGGTGGAAGGATTTTAGCAAACCTTGTTGCAGATCCCTACTTGTTTTTGTTTTGAAGAAAAGCTGTTTGTTTCAGCATGTCCTTTCCAAACTGATCCTTGAATGGGAGGGTCTGGGTTCATCATAACCAGCTGGTGAATTTCATGTGTTGTGATGAGGAAAGGTGCAGTGTCGGCATCCCTTTCGTAGTAATTAACCCTTAGGGAATAACTCACCAAAAATGAAATTCCTATTCCAAGGAATACCTAAGATTGTACTTGCATCTTACTGCAGACTTCTGGGAAAATTACTCAGCCAATCACAGATGCAGGAAGTTACATTTCTGGGGGCGTTTTGTACACCAGCTGTGTACAGAAACCCTCCAGGTTGCCATATTGCATTGTATTTTTTCAGAAAATTACAGTGGAAGTAGTTTTAATGGGAATGGTCATTTTTATTAACATTAAATTACAAATGGATTGTGTAGCAATTATATACAGTATGCTATATTCATTTTTTACAACATTTTTAAATTTTCATAAAAGTGGAGTCTCATAAAAAAATAAAGCTGCTGCAGTGAAAAAAAACATACTGCTAAGTCCCATGCAGACAGAGAAAGCTCCAGGACTTGCCACTACCTCCTGCCACCCATATATACCTCTTGGTCCATTGCTATCATGGATGCCTCACTGGCCAATAAATATGTGCACTGTGCATAATGGGTTGGACACACTTTACCACTGTTGGGAAGTAGCAATGTTTTGCCCATGAAAATAATAGTAGATTCGGCCCTAACAATAGGATTTTTATTTGCACACCTGGTGACAATAATTTACTTGAATCATTGATGCTGTGGTATGTCAGTATGGGACTCCACCATAAAGAAATTATAATAATTCCTTTACCCAGCAATCATTAATCTTCTTTTTAAAGGGGAATAGTCCACTAGCAAGGAAATAGTTCCAGTCGCAAGCCACCCTTTCTGCAGACAGATGTTGAATGCAATTTTAAATCCTTCAAGTAGCCACAATCACAGGCCACCTTTGTTTTTTATAGATTATCTCCAGCTAGAAAGTATTACTTAATCACTACAGGTCATAATAACAACAACTGTTGACCTAGCGTTAAATCATTGTGTTACATGAATTTCCTACCCAATGATGCACTAACTAATTATGCCACTTGAAAGGTAGGTTGTAAAATTTTTAAAAAACAAACAAAGTCTCACAGTTGTGGGGATTAGCAATGGATAACATTAATGACATGGAAAGAACAGTAACTCTTAACATAGCATGGAGTATATATTTTTTCATGTGGTGGTTTTCAAAACAATGCTAGATGAGATGATCACTAAACTGCAGCCATGGTTTTCTATACTGTGCAGTGATGTTTTCCTCAGGGTTAGTTCACAGCAGAAACTGCATCACAACTGCGTGCTTCTGCGCAGTTGCATTGGATCTGTTTTGATGCGCTTTGACGCGTTTGTGATGCGTTTTCGATGTGTTTTTCCCCTGCATGTCCCTGGATGATGCCACAATCAATTCTGTGGGGTTTTTTATGCATTCCGTTGCGTTTCAGTGCGTTTTGATGCGTTTGCACTGCGTTTTGATGCGTTTCATGCAGTTAGATGCAGGTAAAATAGGACAAGCAGTACTTTTTCTGACTGTATCTGAACGGACTGCAATGGTGTGAATTAAGCACAAGAAAGCCCATAGGAAAGCATTGTGATGTATTTTGACTGCAGCAGTCAAAATAAACGGACTGCATCACAACTGCATATGGTGTGAACTGGCGATTACTATAGAAGTCATATGTGCATATATTACTTTATATACTTCTGGAATCATAGTTTTTACCAGAGTTTTAAAGTGCATTTACCGCTAAGTGAATCACCGCTAGGGAGATTCACCCCTTTTATTTGTCCTGGTGACCCTTATCACCGAAAGCAAGAGAAAACCCCAAATTATGGGTTGTCATCAGAACAGGAATAGATGGGAAATCTTCCAATGGGGAACACTAGTTTTGGTGACCCTGCTGACCACCAGGGATTTCTCTCACTTTCTGTTGTGGCTATTGCATAGAAAGTGAAGGGAAATCAGACAGAGATGGCAAAAAAAGATGACAGGTTTAATAAATCACTTCTGCAGTAAAGTTGATCTGTCACTAAAATGCACACCAGAATTAGTGGGGCATGTTATCAATATCTAATCACATTATTATTAGTACAAACTTGCGGTAGGAGACAATCAACAAACAACCATTTATAGCTGAGTAAATACAGCATGGTCACCCTATCTAATTGAAAAATTAAACACAAAAGCAAGACTTTAAACATGTACAGTACTTCTAAGATATTTTATATTAATATGGTCACATTTACATCTAGGAAAAAATAATGAAAGCCTTAGTTACTGTTAATTTGTTTTTTAGATTTTGAGCATGGAAAACTGTGGCTATAAAATGCATGTGTTGCCCAGATTTTAGTTATCCAGTATTCAGGGTTAATAGACTATTATGTCATTTTAGGTAACTGTTTCCTTGCCAAGAACATGATTGTAAAAATTGGGGACCTGGGATTAGCAACAACTGTGGACCAGTGTGAAAAAGTTCCAGGGTAAGGATAGATTTGATGTTTCATGTTTGTAGAAACCTAAAGACAGAAAGTTACCATATACGAATAATTCTACTTTTTATTTGTCCAGCGTCATATGTGGCACACCAAATTACTTATCTCCGGAAGTGCTTGCTAAGGAAGGACACTCCTTTAAATCAGACATCTGGGCCCTTGGATGTGTAATGTAAGTACTGCGTTATATAAATTATAGGCATTTGCAACATAGAGTACAGGGATAAATGACAAATATGGATGTATTTCATTAGATGTTGGTCTGAAATGTTTGAAAGGTTGTGATTTTCTTTAGAGAAACATGTCATAAACAGTAGAAAGGTTTTACAGGTGCATATGTTTCCACCATTGTTCCAGGTACACACTACTGACTGGATATTCCCCCTTCAGAGCTCATTCACAGATAGAGATGCAATATTTCATCAGAGAAGGCTTCTACCCTGTGCCTTCATATATATCACTCAATGGCAGAAGACTGATTATTTCTTTACTTGCGAACTGTCCCACTAACAGGCCTGGCATAGAAGACATACTGGCAAGTGACTTCTTCACTCAGGTATAGCATGACACCCTGATTTATTGTCTGTTCTTAATTTTAAACTATATGCTACATAGTGGATCTCTTGTACAAAAAAACAGGACAAGGACAAGCAGTGGTGTCACCCATTGCAAACTAGATTTGTCCTTTGATTTCTAACTACACATGCAGAAATGATCACTAAAACAGTTTCTGTGGACAGTTGTCATGCATAAGACTCAGGCTCATAAAGGATTAGTAAAGTGAGTATAGAATGCCTAAAAAAAGTGAAAATGTAATCTCTGCCCAAGCTTTTGCCTTGGAAGAATTAAGTCTGTTTATGTGACTGACAACAGGTCCAGATTTATAGGCTATGCCAGATGGACCAAAAGGTTCAACACCAACAAATAGGACTTTAAATATCCACTAGCCAATATATAGTATTGCAGGACACCACTAGTCAAGTGGAACATGTGTTGTAGCCTGGTGTTTGCTCAATTCTCGGGTCTATATTCTTACTGTTGACTGTGCAGTTGATAGAATAGCTTTATGAACAGGATGTAATAATGAAACAAAAGACTAAAATGTTTTAAGTGCCAATGAAAAAAAACAACATTTTAAACATACTGATTTTGTATAGAACCTGCTATTATAAACAAATAAACGTATATATTGCATGGATTTAGGATTCCCTATTCTTACCAATTCCTGTTCTTGAACTATTTTCAAATGTTTGCATTGGGTTTTCCATGCAAAAGAAGGTGCAACCTCAATGGTAAGCAACCTAGAAAGTTTGTGGAATAGACTTCAAACTGAAGATACATTGCATGTACAGAAAATCTATTAATGAATTGTGCAAAAATATGGTAAAAAGGAACAGCAATTGTTTACGTTTTTATCCATATTCATCTTGATGTGAAGCAACGTTGAGAAATTCACACATTTGTAGTTAATGTAGATGTTGTTGAGAATGGAAGATGCAACAGAAACACCATAAAGGAGGACAAGAAGATAGAGCAGGAGTCCCAAACTCAATTCACTTGGGGGCCACTGGACAAATGTTCTTCTCCCATGGGGGCCGCTTGCCAAATTTAATAAAACTTCTTACTTCAAAATACAGTGTAACTATACACAGTACCAGTGTTAATGTCTGCGTGTGTTTATAATGTCAGTATACGTGTTTGTGATGGCTTGTGTGTGTGTGTGTATTGTCACGATTTCTGTGAGTGATGTCGGTATGTGTGTTAATGTTTCTATGCGTGTCATATCAGTATGTATACATGTGTATATGTGTGCAATATCAGTATACGTGTTTTTCTTCCTACAGTTTTACATTTTAATCATAGAGGACCAACAGATTCACACATTCACTCACACACAGAGAAACACACATACACCCTCCCCCCAGGCACAGAAATACCCACACATACAAATACGCACATATGCAGACATACCCCCCTAACCAGAAATGCACACACTAATACACACACAATAAGGCCCCTTTCACACTTGTAAGTTTAGGTCGGATTAGGGATCCCTGTGTCAGGAGCTTGCATTTTCCTGCAGCAGGAATCCCAAATCTGCTATTTACAAGAAGCAGCTGTCAACTGTTTAAATTAATGATCAGATGACAGCCGTTACATGTAAATGCCGGCACACCTCATGTAATCATATGTGATATGATTACATGAGGTTAGGAATCAATCAATGATGCATCCAGATATAGTGATTGTTTTCTGACTACCTGTAATCATATCACATGTGGTGTGCAGGCGTTTATATGGAGAAGCTGTCATCTAATCATTAATTTGATCAGGTGACACCTACCTCTTGTAAACGCCAGATATAGGATTCCTGTTGCAAAAAAATGCAAATTCCTGCCGCAGGAATCCCTAAACGCACCTAAAGTTACAGGTGTGAATATTCCACTACACACACAGAAAAATACAACCCCCCCTTATGCAGGGAGGAGGCACAATCCCTGGTGATCCAGTGGTTGATTAGTAAGGTTATGTGCAGACCTTACTAATCCATCCTTTCGGCCAGAGCTCAGATCTGTCAGAGCTCCAGCCAAAAGAAACTAGTGAGTGTCAACGCTGAATGGAGCAGCTATGCGGTCTGCATCTGACAGAGATGCAGATCGTGTAGCTGATCCCACAAGTTAGGAACGTAGTCCGTGACCGCGTGCTTGACTTGTCAGGTACAGGTTTGCGGGCCGGTATTTTTAAAGACCCCTAAGATAGAGGAAGAAAGAGGGCAAACATGAAGAGGGAGAAGGAAAAGAAGTGATGACTTGCCGCCTGGCTTCCCAAATAGCTGGGTAGCCGTCTCCATGCTCCCTCGTTACTTGGTGACGAGGAAGCATGGAGGCAGCTTTCTGGCCAATCAGGAAGCCGGGGGGTGGATAATGACTCGCCGCCTGGATTCCTGATTGGTCAGCTTTCTGACCAATCAAGAAGCCGGGCAGCAAGTCATTACATGGAGCCCAGTATCCTGATTGGCCGGGGAGCCGGCTCCATGGTCCTCGTCACCAAGTAATTAGAGAGGATGGAGCAGGCTTCCCGGCCAATCAGGGAGCCAGGGGGCGAATTATCACCCGCCCTCTGGTTTTCTGATTGGCTGGGAAGCCAGCTTTATGCTCCCTGGTGATGAGGGAGCATGGAGCCGGCTTCCTTGATACCGGAAGATATCGGGATAGGCATCAGGAGCATTTAGTACCAAATACTCGGTATCGGTGCATCAAGTTATCAATTTTCAGAACATTTTTGTTTTTACCACAAGTCAATGAAGCAATAGTTCTTCAGAATCCCACAATCTCTATGCTGGCTTCCAAGAATATGTACACAACTTCTGAAAAACCTGTGGAATATGTAGGATGGGCTCATACAAGAGAGCTGGAAAAGGGGATTTTATTAAAGCTGAACTCAAGATATAAAGACAGATAAAAAAGACACAAGATAATGCAATTTGGTATTATCACATTATTAAATGTATTTTTTTTTTATGCAAGCAGTACAAGTACTGGAATCTGACCTGGTCATTACCTTGCAGAAGTCCCTGTATAGCAGAGATCTGAGTGGCAGAGGGAGAAGCAGCCAGTCAACGAGGAACCAGTCAGTTCATGTGCTGATAAGGAGCATGCTAAAATAATCAGACAGAGAGATGAGCTCATATCTGTGCTGCTTCTTATTCACTGTCCAGACACTAGACAGGCTGGGAGTGGATACATGTCTGGGCTAAAGAGAAAAGGGTTTGAGTGATGCTGGCCATTATATACCCCAAAAGACTAAGGACATCTGGTGGTGGAAAAGAAGTACTGCGGGGACAGCTCTTGATTGAAGGCGAGTATTGCAGCCAAAGCCCCAGCATTAGTGGTCAGTGGTAGAAATTCCCTATTATTTGTGTCAGTGGGAGGAAAAAAATAATGCACTAGCAATGGCATCAGATCAGTGGTTAATTACTTGAAGATATGGATTGTGTCCCACATTGATGCTTGTGATTGTCCTGGATGAAATTAACATTAGAACTACCGTATGCAGGCACTGTTGGGCAGCAGATGACAACATCCTTTTCTGCATGGCAGAATTGAAAACAAGCAATCCAGATAGCATGGCGGCCTGGATCACTTATATTATAGTTTACCACTGGGATAAGTTCATTGAATCCGCTGTCTTGCCTTCAGGACTCCACTATCAGTTTGACAGCCATGCTACTGCAAATTTGGAGTGACAACCGTATGTAGTGACAGCTGCTCACCCACTTACAACTCTGACTTGTTATTCCAGTGCTGGGCTGCAGAACACTTCCATCACTCTCCTCTTTTTCTACTCTCTGTAATAGATAATGTGACCTGTCAGTGTTGTGAAGGAATTTAGCAATGGAAGACTCCCTGTGACTGGCACTGTGATTTCAGGTTAAATTGGGGAGCTGGTGACCAGATGCTGCTACCTGAGAGTCCCTCTCTGAATAAGACTTCTGGAATAAGATGATGCCCCCCGGCCCAGCCCACCTGTTTATTGCTGTAAAAGTAAGCATATTGTTTTGGATGCCATAATCAGTGCAATTAGCTACAGCCTTTCTGTCCCCAGTATAATAGCAACATATTTTTGAAACTTTAGAAGAGAACTATGGCAAATGGGTGGAAATTGAATCTCTGCGGCTTGCACTGACCCACCTCAACGCTCTCTTGTGGGCATTGCCACATATTTTCCCATCATTATCCCTTTTAACATCCATGCTTTGTACTAGAAATATTTGGCTTAAGTTTAGATTCACTAATAACTTATCCTCCCTACAGTCAGCTCTGACCTCTTATTTTTTATACACCCCTCCCTCCCAGCTAGTCTCGTAGGAGAGTGGACCTCTCGGAGAGTCGGCCTTGGGCGAAAAAACAACTGTTTCGCTTTAGAGATATTATAGATCTGGTATCTGGGGCCCTACACCCTTTACCATATCTTCGGGAGAAATATCAACTTCCCAATAAAATGTTATTTTCCTATCTCCAGATTAAACATTTTGCCCAGTCTATCGCTAAAGCCCCACAATTTTCTCAATGTACCCCATTTGAATCTCTTTGTGCATGGTCACCTTCCTCCAGGGGCTTGAAATCGACTTTCCTGGCTCACCTCATGTCGGCACAGTACGGATCAGCACGGATCAGCTCCTCCCCCTCTGACCGCGCAGGACCACCTTAACAAGCCAATAAAAGGGCGATCCCCTCCCCCAGTACCTGTTCTTTTTTCCTCGCTCCAGGTCACAAGAAATGTTTGGATCCTCCCTACTGCTTCCCAGCCGGGTTCAGCCTCTCCCGGTTGGTGGGCCCCTCGGAGGGTAGTAAATCTCCCAGATGAACGGGTGCCCGCGGTGCTGGGCCAGGTTGTATGGATTAATTATCCTTAGGCAGCAGGGAACAGGGGTTTGGCCTGATGCTGCATCAGGCCAAACCCCTATGATATGCTGCATTTTTTATTCTTAAAGCTGCCTGTTCATCCACCATGAGCTCCGCTCGTCCAGTGACGGATGCACTGAAGCCTGTGGAAAGATAGAGAGGCATCGGGGGACCTTATTAAAAGAGTGCAGCGGTGATGTGGAATTTTTTTGACGTTGTCTCTAACTTTTGCAGGAGTAAAAGTCCTCCGCACACATGCACAAAGAAGTGCAAGGAGAGAAGACACTCTTCCTCTTCGGACTCGGTCCACGAGCACTCTCCAGGAGGGCACAGGCATCATCAGAGTCAAGGTGCCACATCCGTCCGGAGAAAAAACCCGCAATTCCCTTCGGGGGCATGTTGGTCCTGCTCCACACAGCCCTTACCGGGTAAAATGCTGTGCCTATAGTGTTTCAAAGAGGTGGCCAGAGACAAGGAGGCAGACACACTAGAGATTAAATATTACATCCATCAGGCCGTGCAGGATAGGCTACAGGATTTACTTCCTTCAATGGCCTCTTCTCAGCATGCGACTAGAGCATCTACATCAGCCAGACCTACAGAGCTCCCAGATGAGGGTGAGATCTTGTCGGAAGGGCCATCCTACCTTCCCAGTCCTACCTTCCCAGTCATGCCGGAGGTGAAAGATCTGATTGAAGAGGAATAGGAGCAGCCGGATAAAAAACTGAATTTTCAGAACCGTTTTTTGAAACTATATCCCTTAAATGCGGCCGATACGGCTCTTTGGGATAGCCCACCAGTTATCGATGCGGCCTTGCAGCGCTTAGCGCGTCATGTGGCTCTCCCACTGGACAACTCTGTGGCCTTTAAGGATGTGATGGACCGGCGGTTGGATGCTGATTTAAAGAGGATTTACGCTACCGCTGGATGGGCCTTGCGGCCCCACTTTAGCGTTGACATCGCTCTCTAAAGCCCTGAAAGTATGGATATCTAATGTGGCTACAGAACTCAAAACAGGTGTGCACAACACGCAAATTCTGGCAGTGCTGGAGGAACTAAATTTATCAGCTGATTTTTTGGCCGAATCTTCCATAGATCTGGTCCACCTATCGTCCAAGTTAATGGGCCATTCGGTCACCGCCAAGAGGGCGTTGTGGCTGAAACATTGGACCGCGGATTCAGCATCAAAACAGGCATTATGTGCTATTCCTTTCAACGAGAAGTGTCTGTTTGGGAAAACGCCGGACGGCCCGATTAAAAGAGTGACGGGTGGCAAATCAGGTCTGCTTCCACAGACCTATAAGCGCAGACAGCAGCCCTTTCGGGCCAACCACTAGTGCCTGCTCTATCAGGGCGAGTTCATGCTTGATTATGGGAGTCGGCATTCATTTGTATCAAATGGGCAGATGATCCTCTCTTGCGGAGATTCATGAGAGCGGCCCTGAAGTTGCGGCCTCCTAGGAAAGCTCTGTTCCCATCCTGGGACCTGGACTTAGTTTTGACTGCCTTAGCGGCCCCACCATATCATCTTTGTCGCAGTGCACCCTGTGGTACCTTACACAGAAGTTACTTTTTCTCATTGCCATCACATCAGCAAAAAGAGTCTCCGAATTGGCGGCTCTTTCATGTAAGGAGCCGTTTTGTGTGCTATTGGCTGATAAAGTTGTATTACGTCCTTCACCAGAGTTCAGGCCGAAAGTCGTTTCCTCATTTCATTCAGACTGGGAATTAATTCTCCCAGGTTTCAGGAGTCTGGCCCAATCTTCAAGTTCGGATTTATTACCAGCTCTGCATTTGGTCGAACTCATGAGGGAGTATCTTCATAGAACGGAAGGTTTTCGCAGATCTGATCGACTATTCATCTTTCCGAAAGATCAAAAAGAGGGTTTAACGCACCTCCTAAAGTGTTGTCTATGTGGATTCAATCTGTCATTAAAGCATCATATGTGCAGCAGGGTCTTACTCCTCCGGCGGAAGTGCAAGGCCACTCGACGAGGGGAGTCGCGACGTCCTGGACGTCATATGCCAGGGTCTCAATGGAGGACAAATGCAAGACGGCGAGGTGGAGCTCGCGGAACACTTTTGTTAGGCATTACAATTTGGATGTGGCTGCTACCAGATTGGCCAGATTTGGAACGGCAGTCCTTTCTTCTGCCTTGTCACAATAAATATTTTCTGTTTTTTGCAGTATTCGGTTTCTGAGGGTGTTTTCCTTCTTAGGATATTTGTCCCGCCCTTGGGGATTATGCTTGTTATATCCCATACTGTGCCGACATGAGGTGAGCCAGGAATACGGTAAATTGTTATCATACTTACCGTAATTTCTCCTTTCCTGGCTCATCCTCATGTCGGCATGCATTGGATTGACCATTACACAAGATCAATGGGAGAGTATATGGAGATCTGCATCTAAGTCCTCCATATCCTCCATATACAAGGAAATCAGTATAAGGTACTGTATCACTTGTACCATACTCCTGAATTTCTTCATAATATATATCCCAATGTATCATTGCTCTGTTGGAGATGTATGCCTCAAACCGGATCTCTCTTCCATATCTTCGGGCAATGTGGTCGAATCAGGCCATTTTGGTGGAATGTCCAGACTCTGAGAGCCTTCTACACCGTAAAATTCATTTAGCCCCCTTGAATTACTTATTAGGTCTTCCCTTAAAAGGGTTCCAAAAATTTGACAAAAAATTAGCATCTCATGTGTTGACAGCTACACGCTGCCTTATAGCCCTACACTGGAAGTGCAGTACTCCTCCTTCAGACATAGACCTCTATACTAGAATAAAAGTGGAAAACTGAAATATCTGGAATATCTGACTGCTAGGCTGAATAATACCTTGACCTCTTATTATAAAGTATGGGAAGCAAGGGATGAGTTGGAGGATGCATTCCTGATCAATCATTGGAGGCCTGGGCGGAGTCGGTACCTAGTTTCTACTTCTACTTCCCTTTTCCACGTTTCTTCACTGGCTTCCTTCCTTTGTCTTTTTGTTTGTGTAAGGTTTGGACTATATGCTATGATTTGCGGAATTCTTTTTTCACAAAACGAACTATTACATTTATTATATGCTACGCGCATTGACAGTATTTGTGCTTCTTGTTGCCTGTAAACAACTTTTTTTTTTTTCCTGCATGAGTATTGCAATGTCTGTTCTAAAGTTTAAGGATTGAATGCATTCACCCCCTTTTGCCATTGACTCATTATTAATATGGGTTCATTGTGCATTGTTTATTTTGTGTATTGAAGCGATAGCATTGTCCTTTGTATTCTCTGTTCTTTCTTATTTACTAAATAAAAAACTGTTAATCTCTTTAGGGTCACAGGAGGACATATACTAACATCCTCCCATGACCCAAAACTCAGTATATAGCGGGCTATTTCCAGAACTCCCAGCTGTTTTTTTATTTTACTTTATATTTTTTGACACATTTGGAGTATATTGCGTTAGGGTCCCTTGCCGTCCATGAAGCAGATTTAGGTTTTCACTATAATTTGACCTAAACTGGAAGAAGCAGTGAGCATGAGTAGAAGAATGAGAATTCTGGAGAATCCTGTCTACAGCCTCTTTCATAGGGGAGCAGAACAAAACTTGGATCTTTTAGGTAGAAAACAATTTTTCATTACAATAAGGCTTGTATAGTATTATAACTTTTATATGATGTGTGCATGTTTACCAAAGCTCGTTTTCCTTTATAATGATATGAAAAAGGATGGGATTTCACCACTCAGCTATTCCTTGCTTCTAGGGGTTCACACCTAAAAAGCTATCATCTGCCAGCTGTAACACAGCTCCAACCTTCTTGCTTTCCATCCAACTAACCAGATTCTTCAGCAAAGCAGCTAAAGTTCTGTACCGAGGAGTCTTCCATAAATCCTTCTGCTCAGGTAAATAGATCATATTAACTCAAATTAGAAAAAAGAAAAAATGGTTTTAGTTTATTTTCTTTGATCATTACAATCAATTTTGACCAGCAGTTTCAATGGTTATTGATTGTATTTTGGGCATTGCTTTTTGGGTGCTACGGGGAAGTCTTTTTCTTTTTCCCTCTCAGGCATTGAGAGCTTTGTAAAAAGCCTACCAAACTTACAGTCCTGCTGAGGGCTGCCAAGTGTTTGTGCAGTTCTACATATGGCAGTAAATAAAGTCATGTCTTTCTCTGTCTAAATTCAACCTGCTCATTTTAAATTGGGCTTAGTTTGTAAGGTACTGCAAAGAGTAATAATAATGTGCAACAATGGTGTACAAAGAATAGTAATTACAGTGTAAAGAGATGAGTCGACAAGATTTTGTTCTTATCAAATGGGTTTTGCATTTCCAAAAAACAATCTAGGAATGCAAAACCCTCTTTAGATAAATTACAGATCAGAAGGAGGTTGACTGCATGTCAAATACATCTGTGGATGATTTCTGAATGTGTTTCCATTTTATAGATTGTGGAGAAGCAGGGGAGCATGGAAAATCAATGATCGTGCCTACACAGAGCCTGGAGTCTTTGAGTACAGATAACACATGTGAAGTATGAGATTACTCGAAACATTATCCCTCAGAGACATAGATTTGCTGTGGTGTTTAGCTTTCCATTTATGTCTTTTGTCAGGAAGAAAAAACAGAGGACGTCATCAGACCTAGTGATGAATCTCTTGCTATACTCATGAAAGGGAGAATGAGCAGCAGGCAAAGGTCGGCCTTGCAGAGTGAGCTTCAGTTTTACCTTTGATTAAGTAAAAAAAGCGGAAGTACATAACGTGTACTGTTTGTTTACTGTTAAATTCTGTAATTTTATATTAGCTGTAAATGCTGCAATTTCTCATGATTCAATTCTAGCAAAACACAAGTGAAGGATACCAGTTACATAATGTAAATCTATAGAAAATGCAAATGTTCAGTGGGGATGAGCTTCTGGTCCTAGTCGAGGTTAGGCTCAGGGCACACTCAACCCATTCGAAGTTCACGGACAAAGAAAACTAATCAGCCGTCTGCTGCCATAGCACCAAATTACCGATAAGGCACATCCTGGCCTCTGAACTTAGGTCAGGTGGCTTAAAATGGCTAGACCCTCATTATAAATAGCAGGGATCCCAGCAGACATATTAACAATGTGCTTAGCTGTGATAGGAAAAGTGTAGAGACTCAGTGTGATGGACTCCCTGATACCCCGACTGGATATCTCCGTCTTAAGACTGTTCCCTGGGTGCTGGAACCAGAAGCCAGTGAATATAGCATGGGCTTACCCCAAGAATCAGACAACACTAACTTTGGAGTGGAAACATGAACTGGTTTATTGACGAAAGCACACAGAGTATATACCTCACAGAATCAGATAAGAGTTACATAGTTACATAGTATTTGGCGTTGAATAAAGACATACATGCATCAAGTCCAACCCATATAGGTCCACGCATCATCTCATTCTTAGGGATACTGGTATCCCTGGATATTACGGTCCCTCAAGAAATTGTCCAAACGTTTCTTGAACAAATCTACACTCTTGGCTGAAATCACTGCCGATGGCAGTGAGTTCCAGACCTTAACCGCTCTTACTGTAAAGAACCCTCTTCGCCCATTGTGCTGGAATTTTTTCTCCACCAACTTTAGGTGATGGCCTCTAGTCTTTGTAATGGAGTTAAACTTAAACAGTTTGTTGCCAATGTTGCTTTCCCCATTGAACATCTTATACATGAAAATCATATCCCCCCTTAATCTCCTTAATTCCAGCGTAAACATGTTTAAGGTCAGAAGCCTTGTCTCATAGCTCTGGTCCTCCATTCCCCTAATTAGTTTTGTTGCCCTCCGAATGAGTTTGGTTGCCTTCTTCTGGACTTTTTCCAGTTCAAGGACATCCCTTCTCAGTACCGGCGACCAAAACTGGACCGCGTACTCCAGATGTGGCCGAACCAACGATCTATATAGAGGCACAATAATAGACTTGTCCATGCAATACATCCCCTTCTTAATACAGGACAAGACCCTACTACGGTCAGAAAAATGTTTACAGACTTGTTGCAACTGCACATACAGTATACTGTATATAGAAAATGTTGGAATTCCTTCTTCACTCCTTATGAGCTACAACTGCTAAGGTAGTTTCTCCCTATTTTTGTATCGTCTGCAAACACGGAAACATGGCTATTTATTGCCTCCCCGATGTCATTAATGAATAGGTTGAACAGTATCGGACCCAGCACAGATCCTTGAGGCACACCGCTCATTACACTAGCCCAGTCCGAAAAGGTGCCATTTGCAGATACTCTCTGGACACGTTCCCGTAGCCAGTTCTCTATCCACGTACACACCACCTCATCTATGCCCATAGCCCTCAGCTTGTGAAGTAAGCGCTTGTGTGGTACCATATCAAATGCCTTTGAGAAATCCAGGTATACCACATCTACCGGCTTCCCTCCATCCATATCATAGCAAGTTAGTCAGGCAGGAACTGTCTTTCCTGAATTCATGCTGATTGTCATTAACTATGCCCTTATCCTTAACAAATATTATCAAATAGTCCTTAATTATACCTTCTAACAGTTTACAAACTACCGATGTTAGACTAACCAGCCTATAGTTCCCTGGTTGGCATCTAGCCCCCTTTTTGAATATTGGAACTACCGTAGCCCTCCGCCAATCACATGGTACCCTAACAGTCACTAAGGATTCCTTAAAAAATGGTCTTGTTATAACCTGGCTTAATTCCTTAAGTACCTGGGGTGAAGGTTATCTGGTCCAACTGCTTTATTTGCATTGAGCATTTTAAGTCTATGTTCTATTCTGCTTTCCGTCAACCATTGTGGTATATTATCGGTTGAACTATGTGTTTTATCACATACGTCTAACCCGTTTCCCTCCTGAGTGTATACTGAGGAGAAAAAAAATGTCAGCGCCTCGGCCCTCTCCTTGTCACTTGTGAGTAACTTGTTCAGTGTGTTACCTTGACCAATCCCCTCTCCCAGACAGTTGGGTGCCGCATTGGAATTCCTTAAGCACAGACATTCTTTGAACCTAATGAATGTCCTTAATCAGATCATCCCAAACGGCTACTCCAGACAGCCTGCTGCCTTCACAAAATAAGTTTAGTAGAGATGGTATCCAAAAAAGGTGGAAGCCCAGATTGTTCAAATCAAGTCAAATAGTGAAAAGTTCTCTCTCTAGATAAAATATTAAACAGGAAAACACACACAGCAAACAAAGTTCTCCGGGGCAATAAATCTCTGTGGTCCGTAGTCAGTAGGAAGGAGGCTCCAGCAGCCCTAGTGACGGTTCAGTCCGTCACACTCAGTACTACTGATAAAGTCCATAGCGACAGAATAGTGTAGGGCCTGTAGGTACTGGTCTCTTAAAGTAGATGTAGACTCTTACTAAATGCCCTTCAGGTAGCACAATGCTGTGTATCTTGGGGAATTTGGGGGTGGGGAGGAAAGGATTTGTACATGTTGATGCTGCTGGGTGTCCTGCAGCCTCTTTAAAGCCTCTCCACATCTGTTACAGCCATAACAGTCATAACAGGATGAATGTGTTTTTAAAAAGGCATTTTTCCTATTTTTTGCTGGCTGAAATGTACATCTTTAACAGCCTCTCTCTGAATCCACATGCACTTAACTGCGAACTGGCTGCATGTATGTTTTCAAAAGGCATACGTCCTAATTGTTGCTAGCTACAAATTTTTAAAGGCCTTTTTTGTTTAAAAAAAAAAAACTGTGTAAAATTCCTGGGCAATGTGCATTCCCACAGAAGTTTATTTTTTTCTTTTGGCAGGTAAATGACAGGATGGTTTACAGGCAGTATATTGTGAGAGACAGGGGCAGAATTTTGTCACCCCATAACACAAAGTGGCCAAACAAGGACCTCTTTATTATCACCACATTAAAGCTTATATGGCATTTTAGTGGTTGTGTTTACATCTTATTTAACAAACTAAGCTTGAAGGCTTTTAATTGCAGTGCTGGGTATATTTTCTTATGTGCCCTGTCTCTGTGTGCACAAATCTATACCCCCAAAAATCCTTTCAAGGATCTATATCTGTACTCAATTGATTGACAGCTAGCTCTTTTATTATGAACACCTTAGCTATTATGAAAAAAGCTTATATCCCTTTATTTTTTTAATTATAACTTTAGGCAGCATCAGGCAGTTGTTGCTAACAGTCGATTCCAGAGCGATATTTTTTTGCATTGTTTGAAAGAAAAAAAAAAAGTGCAAAACAGTGTGCACCTAAATCACCTCACATTACATCACTCAAATTCACCACACACCCCTATCACCATAGATAAAATAAAAGTTTGGCATTCGGCAGTTAGGCCTAATATCCCTGATTAAACTGTCCTGCATCTGACCTGTGTTATACTACTTTATCTTTATTTTTGTTTTTATTTTGAAACCCTTTATGATAGAATAGATGAAAAATAATATATCTATTTATAAACAGTTCACAAGACAGTACATTATTCATTAGCATACTTAGGCTTTACAGAATGAGCTAAACAGATAGATCTGTTTATCTAAACAGATAAAACAAATATTATTTTCTTTCTTTTTCCACCACAAAAAAATCTACTATTTTTAAGATTTTGCTCCCTTTAGACTTTATTCAGGTTTGGATTTTTGTTCTAAAATCCTGATGGGTTCAATAAACACCCCACAAACCAAACCTACACATATTTTTTCATCCCGAGGATGATCGAATCTGCTCAGATTCAGCTAAAGTTTTTATAGTTTGGTGAATCTTGTTCAAATATCATAGTTTAAGAATTTGTAGTGACCACACTATAGCCTATTGGGGCAAAACTAGTTAGTCAATGCTGGCCATTTGAAGGTCTAATAAGCAAGGCATGAGAAGCCTGGTGCTGCTATAAGGAACATGTTCCAATCCTAAAATTAACACAGCATATCCCCGATACAGAATTGCCACCTCAATCTAACAACACACACACTCACAGCATGGCAGCTGTGAGCCGATCATTTTGTATTGAGGGGGCTAAGTTATCCGAGTTGCTTCAGATTAATGGCTCTTGTGACTCATCTGACCAAGGTCAAAAGCAATCCACTGCATTATGGAATGTTCCTTACTTCTAGCAGTGAACCTGCAAAGTTTTAAGCCAAAAGTTTGCAATTTGCGAACCCCCGGGGATTCACTCCGAACCTATGGTAGCAGCAAACCTGAACAAAATCCCTAATGTTCAGTTACAACCACTATGAAAAAAATTGCATAAGGAGCTGTCAATCACTGCAAAATGTCAGTGTGGAAGTTAGTGGGCCATTAATAAAAACAAACTATATAAATTATATTGTATGTAACTTTCCTGAAAGTATACTAAAGGATTAGGGATGCACCGATACCGGTTTTCCGGTACCGAGTATGAGTACTGATATTTTTTTTCCCGGTACTCGCCGATACCAAAAGTACCGTTAAGGAAGCCGGGCTGAGAGTCATTACACGCCACCCGGCTTCCTTAATGGGAATTCCGGTATCTGTATTCGGTATCGGCCAGCACCAAAAAAATATAATCAGTACTCGTACTCACCAGGTGACGAGGAAGCATGGAGCCGGATTTCTGACCAATTAAGTGGGGGGAGGGGGGTAATTACTCGCTGCCCGGATTCCTGATTGGCCAGCTTCCCGACCAATCAGGAAACTGGGCAAGGAGTCATTACCTGCCCCCTGGCTTCCTGATTGGATCCAAGATACCAGGGTCACTAAGTGACAAGGGAGCATGGAGCCGGCATCCCGGCCAATCAGGAAGACGGGAGGCAAGTCATTACACACACCCCCACTTCCTGATTGGCTAGGAAGCCAGCTCCATGCTCTGTGGTGATGAGGGAGCATGGAGCCGGCTTCCTGGCCAATCAGGAAGCTGGGTGGCGTGTAATGACTCGCCGCCCGGTTTCCTGATACCGGAAGTTTTGGTATCTGGATAAGTATTGGGAGCATTTAGGCAAGTATGAGTACTCGCCCAAATACTCGGTATCGGTGCATCTCTATAAAGGATAATATATAAAATGTGAAAAATCTAAATTGTGTCTAATTAACATTTTTTATGGGGAGGAGAGTTCAGATGCAGATAGTGGAAATGTAGCTGAAGTCATATATTTGTATGTTGCAAAAGTATTTGGCACTGTTACTCAAATAGGCTGGTACAGAAACTGAGGGTGCAATGATTTCATAGAGTTGGGGAAAACAATTTTCATAATAATTCGTGGCACAGTGGTTTTCACGTGAACACTGTGTACAGTTACTGTAAAGCCAGAGAGAGGTGGCAAAGATATAATGCAAAGATTTCACACTCTTTTGGGTTGGGGGCTTATATCAGTGCTTGCAAAACAGAGAACATAGCAATTGAGTAAACTGCATGCACATTAACACAAGATGGAAGACAGCTGACCGGCTAAAAATCTTTAACAATATAAAATTTCAGGCATCTGACCTAGAGTTGCCTGACTAACAGGCTTCTCAAAATAGCATTAATGCCATTAATGAGAGATTAGTTGTCAACCACAGTCACACCCAGTGTTCAACTTAAATTGTAATTATCCTGTCAGTACAATTTCAGATGGAGAAGGAGCCATATACTTTTGTAGAAATGCATAAAAACAAATCATTTTATGCCTTTTTTACTTCAAAATTAACCAGAAATCTATAAGTTATAATTAACTGGCAATGTCTGTAAATTCAGCCATGTTTCTATGTTGTTTTCTTATTTTGCAGAACAGAGAAAGCCTATGGGAGAAAAAGTGGTGGAAGATGTCACTGTTATATTAAAAAACTGCCTGTTCATCATCATACCAGGTAAACACAAAAATACGGATTATAAATTCAATTTCTGATTTAAAATTGTATTATCTCTTTATGCTTTTATATCCTTTAAAATGCTTTGAATTAACTCTTAAAAATAGTAAATTTTCAAGTTATACACAATTTCGAAATAAAGTAAACCTGTGAGGGAAGGACAATAGGGGCTCCCATTGCTGACTTGCCTTTAAATGTGCAGGTCCTACAGTTGTCATATTCTTCCTCGTTTTCAGTACTTAGCGAGTCACTGGCATTGAGCAAATATGCAGTCAATAAAGTCTGAAAAGTCGCCATTGCCATTCTGCATGCTTCAGCTAGTTCAATCAATATTCTGAAATGAACTTAGGATCAAAATGAAAGACCCAGAATCTTTGCTTTTAAAAACAGTAATGGCAGCTCTTATTATTTCTATTAAATCTATCTGTAAATTGATCTGTTTTTACACCCTAAACAATGATAAATCGTAGACATGAATGGAGCTATCATATCAGTCAATGCAATTCAAACATTTGTAATAAAACATATAACTACAATGCAGATAGTACTCATAGTTGGTTTAACAGGGTATTACTGTATACTCTTCATGTAGTAATGTAAACAACTTCTATACCTCATGGCCATACCGGTATTACTTACTAAACATGATGTTAAACCATTAATGAAACTAAACATCATGAACTACAAAAATACCCATTATAAAGTAAATTTTTAGCTATGCTCTGAAATTGCTTTGGACTTGTTTTCATTTAAAAGGTGAAATGGATCCCACAAAGCAGGTGAATTCTCATATCCTATGGGTGACCAAGTGGGTGGATTACTCTAATAAATATGGCTTTGGCTACCAGCTTTCTGATGACTGCACAGGGGTACTACTGAGTGACGGAACACATCTTGTTCTCTCCCCATATACACAGTAAGTAAAAATTCAGAATTAAACTTTACTTGGGCTCACTGAAACATTGCTCCTCTCTTTTAACCCCTCTAACCTGATAAGAGTGTGTAAACCTTCCCACTCTATCCAAAATAAAATAAGAAGTTTTGCCTGGAGTTGAGCTTTAACCATGATTTAACTAAAATATTAGTGAACTAGCACCAAATCATCCAACTAACATCTACAAATCAAATTATGCTTCTCTCTCCCAGTTCTCCCTCTACCTGCCAAATGAACGGAGTTCAATATTTTAAGTTTAACCTACAAAGCTTCTTCCAATCTCTCCCCCATCCCCAAAACATGTTGGTGCTAATTTTCAGATACCATCTGAAATGCAACCTCTGCTCTGCACAAAACCCTTTTTACTCTTCCACCTTTTTCCTCACATCCAAGACTTTGTAAATCTATCCATGTCTCTAAAAGCTTCTTCTATAGGCAATTTAGCACTCTCCAACCCTTAAAGCCTTCAAGCACATCCTTACAACTCTGAGCATCAGACAGGCATCGTAATGTGACTTAAAATATTCTCCTAAATTACTAGTCTAGCACTCACTCACTTGTTCCTCCTGGACACAATCTGTTATTGCACATACTTCATTACTTCGTTATTGCACAAACATCAATTACCCTATACACTGGCTACTTTATTCCTTCACCTATTTTTTCTACACCGTATTGTAACGAACTTACCCGTCCTTCGGTTCCGGCGCTTCCCGCGGCTCCGTCAGGGAACCAGCACCATCACCAGCATAGACGTCAGGCGGCTCTTCCCCTTTCTTTTCTTAAGCCGATGAGTTCACTTGCCTGGCGTTCGTGCAAGTGTGTGTGACGCCAGGCAAGTACCTCCGCGGCTCCACGCGGAACCCCCCAGGCCGGACGAGTGCCCCTTCTCTCTCCCCTCAGCAGCCAATTCCCTCCCCTCTTCACTGGCTTGCAGGAAACAGTCCCACGGACTCCCTCAGCAACCATTCCCCTTGTGTGGGAAGAACATTGCAGGCTACTCCACCTACATCCTCTGGGTGGCACTGTGGGACCAAATCCTACCAAACTGCAAGTACTCAGTTACATCTGTCTAAAATTACATATGACTGCTTCAACCCAGTTACTTCTTATTGAGTCAATGACTGCATCTGTGTGTTATAAACCAAATAGGGCTATTCTTCTCATTTAACCCTCAGTTATGTGTAAGGATTACCTCGAGCCAGATTGTTATTGCATAGCTTCACTTACCATTAACCTGCTGAGACTGCTACCGCTTATCACTGACTGTATGCAATTGCTTCAACTATTTTTGAAACTCACCTTGAACCTACAAACGCCATACTCTCCATGCGTCCCCACCTTATCTGAAGCTGAGATCCGCATAACCTCGGACCAGGTGGGCCTGGTGTATTACACTTATCTCCCTAGATTGTAAACTTGCACAAAATGACATCTTTTCTTATGTATCTTTTTGGTTATTTTGGTGTATGCTCTGCTGTACTACTGTACACGCTTCTCACTAAATATTTCATGCAGTTGCATTATCTGTATTGCCCACTTGCCCTATTGTAACCAAGCAGAATCTTTTTCTGTCCTTTGAGAAAGTGAAGGAAGATTCTAGTTAAGGAACATTCTAGCTGGGAAGTTGCCAGAAAGGAAGCCTCTAGAGACTTTATTATTCATGAAGGGAACAGGAAGGGGCGGTCTCAAGCCAATATACACAGGAGGTGCTCTAAAGGAGGATGCATGTGTTCTGAAAGAAAGAATGCTGCTACTGTGAGCAGGAGACAGAAGATCTGCTGCAGGAATTGAATGGCCAGAACCCCAAGAAGGAGCAACTAACTGCCCTGGAGATTAGAAGGGACCAGAATCCAGGATACCTAACCCTGTGGATATTGAAGGGACATTTGTGGCTGTGGACAGTCCTGTTGCTGCTACGGCCACTGATATTACACTGGGACTTGGGGGAGATAAAACCCCTGGATTGCTGGGACTCGTTTCTATCCAGCAGACTTAGACGATTGCTGAAGTGTGAGTGTCAACCACATGGAACTTTACCATAATGAATGGTTGCTTGTAAATATTAAAACTGTTATAGTAACTACATGCTAGTAATGCTGATAGTGATAGTCCTACATAAAGAAATAATTGGCTAAATACAACTGAGAATCATTCCATTTTCTTTCTTAACTTACTTTAGGAAGGTTTGTTATTCTACAAGCTCAGAAGAACATATCACGTTTCCTGAATGGAGCCCACCATATAAGCTAGAAGCAAAGATGAGGATACTCAGGTTTTTCTTTCAATACATGCAGGAGAATGTCTTGGAGGTAAGGAATGAGCAGTCAGAATAAACAAAATGTATGATGTTTCCCTATTGTAAATTAAGAACCCTTTCATGACACTTTTGAAGTGAATTGTTTATTTCCAGAATAAAACTGCCGTTTCTTCACAATTTGGTGGTTTGCATTGTGTAAATGTATACCTTCTGTTAGAGGTCTGGTAGAGTTGTTACAGTTGTCACACATAATAGGATGACATTGGGAAGATCTAGAACATGACATCAGGATATACAGTATAATGAAATCTGATTTAAATCGGAGTTCACTATGCAAGGTAAACAAGATCAGAATGGTTATGTTGTAATTACTTATCAAGGAATATTGGCAGGCAATTAAGGAATATTGAGTTAATGCTGAATAACCTCTTAAATAGTTGGAATTGTAGGATTAAAGTATAAAGCATAAATATTTACCATGCTTAAAAATGGCTAACCTGTCAACCATACACAGAGACCTTTTAAGATTACCTGTAACAGTTGTTAGTACCCCATATGCTGCCTAAATATATGAAGGCTAGCTGCCATCTGTGACCTATGTGTATTGCTATATACTGTGTGTATATACAGTCATGGCCAAAAATATTGTCACCCCAGCATTTCTGTCAGATAATGCACCACTTTGCGCAGAAAATATTTGCAATTACAAATGTTTAGACATTCCCCTGTTTATTTATTTTGTTTGTATTGGTATGAAACAAAAAAGGTGGAGGGAAAAAAAGCCAAACCTGACACATTCCACGCAAAAATGGACTGGACAAAATTATTGGCACCCTCAATTAATATTTGGTAGCACAGCCCTTGGAAAAAGTAACTGAAATCAATTGTTTCCTGTAACCATCAATGAGTCTCTTACACCTCTCTACAGGAATTTTGGAGCACTCTTCTTTCGCCAACTGCTCCAGGTCTCTCAGATTGGAAGGGTTCCTTTTCCCAACTGCTTTTTTTAGATCTCTCCACAGGTGCTCTATGGGATTTAGACCTGGACTCATTGCTGGTCAGTCCAGTACTCTCAAGTGCTTTGTCTGAAACCATTTCTGGGTGCTGTTTGACATGTGCTTTGGGTCATTGTCCTGCTGTAAGACCTCTGACGGAGACTCAACTTTCTAACACTAGGCCCTACATTGCACCCCAGAATTCTTTGGTAGTCTTCAGATTTTATCATGCCATGCACACAGTCAAGACATCCAGTGCCTGAAGCAGCAAAGCAACCCCAAAGCATCAGTGATCCTCCACCATGTTTGACTGTAGGGACTGTATTTTTTTCTTTAAAGGCCTCGTTTCTTTTTCTGAAAACAGTAGAATGATGGCCTTTACCAAAAAGCTGTAATTTTGTTTCGTCTGTCCACAGCACATTCTCCCAAAAGGATTTAAGTCAAGTTTTGGCAAACTCCAATCTGGCTTTTTTATGTTTCTGTGTCAGCAATGGTGTCCTCCTGGGTCTCCTACCATAGCGGCCCTTTTCATTCAGATGGCGACGTATAGTGCGAGCTGACACAGTTGTACCCTGTGTCTGAAGGTCAGCTTGAATTTGTCTGGAAGTTGATTGAGGTTCTGTCAGAACACAATGAAAACCAGACAAGCAAAAGGTGCTAGTTAAAATATTTATTAAGAACAGTGTCCACAGGAGTAAGCAGAGTCTTAAACCGGAACAAGCCAGGGTCAGGAGCCGGAGTGGGTAGTCGTCCAAGCCAGGTCAGGAACACAGAGATCAGCGTCATGCTCTCCTATCTGACCATAAGAGGGAGCCCGGGAGTAGTGAGCAACGTTCCAGAGTCTGCTTGAGCAAGGAAGGAACAGGTGAGTGAAATGGCAGCCAAGCCAGCATGCTACAAACCAGTAAAGTCAGGGTGGAACCCTGACAGGTTCTTTATCCGCCATTCGAACAATCCTTTGTTGCAATCTTTGATCAATTGTTCTCTTTCGTCCACGTCCAGGGAGATTAGATACAGTGTCATGGGCTGTAAACCTCTTGACAATGTTGCGCACAGTGGACACAGGAACATTAAGATCTCTGGAGATGGACTTGTAACCTTGAGACTGTCCATGCTTTTCCACAATTTTTGTTCTCAAATCCTCAGGCAATTCTTTGCTGCTCTTTCTCTTCTCCGTGCGGCATACAGAGTCACACAACAGAAAGGTGGAGTCAATTTTTCACCATTTTATCTGGTTACCGGTGTCATTTCTATATTTTAATTGATACAGGTGAGTTTAATTACAAATTACAGGAGCATCACAAACTTGGAATGCAATTATTTCTTGCAATTTGGAGAAGGTGCCAACAATTTTCTCCAGTCCATTTTTGAAGTTTTGCGTGGAATGTGTCAGGTCTGGCTTTTTTTTCCCAACACTTTTGTGTCAGCGGGAGGGGGGGCCGCGGAGGGGGTGGGGCGCACATACCGGGACCAAATACAAGCGATCCGCCGCCTCTATAGCCGGCGGATCGCTTGTATGATAACAGGCACCGCTGCCGGTTTTAAATTATTCGTCTTTCCCGCTCGTGCGTGGGGCGCACGAGTGGGCGGATCTAACAGGACGTGTATACACGCCCAGTTACATCCAAGAAGCTCCCGGCCGGCCGTGTATACACAGCGGCTGGCCGGGAGGTAGTTAAAGATGTTTTCTCTTCTTAGAGTATCACAGCAATATGCAGTGACTGCCATAATACAAGCTTAACCAGTAAATCTGCTTCTGTTTTTACAGGGCGGAGATCTTCGGGGAGCACCCAGCCTTTCTGTAAGAACATTGTGCCTGTTGCACTTTCTGAAGACAGACCAAGCACTGCTGATGTTGTTCAGTAATGGTACTTTGCAGGTACAGATTTATAAAAACAATTCATCCTAGAATATCTCACTTAGGGGTGAACAAAGCTCTGACGCTTACTTACGAACACTGCAGATGACAATGGTGTGCTATTACCCATGTAAAACAAATCAGATAGCTGTTGCAGTATTGTGTTGAATATTCTCATTCTCTAAACTCATCTGAAATAGATTGGATAGGTTGTAAGGGCTTTCTAAATCATTTCCATTTACCTTGTGTTATTAAATTGCATATGCATGCTTAAAGTGCACCTGGTCAATGCTATGGACATTAAACTATTTCAGGGCTGCGGAAATTAACGATTAATCGTTAAAATTTTTGATTGATTAAAATTCTTTTGATTAATGAAAACACTCACCTCTCCACCGGCTTCCGGGTCTTCTGGGAGTCCCGTTGGAGATCTGGTGACGTCACCGGACTCCTTGCCGGGTGATCTGTCGACACTAAGAACTTATCGAGTTCTGCGACCGCCTGACTTCCGGTTTGGTTACAACGAGGTTTGCCCAAGAATCTTGTTCTGCACGAGCACCAGCCAAGGCATTGGCCTATACACATACAGCACAGCAATGAAGTAATAAAGTGAACTAGGATCACACTAATCCAGCACGTTATTATTCTGAGTTGCCCCACTCAAGCGGCGGCCATATTGAGTGGGGCACGTGAGATTAATAATGTGCTGGATTAGTGTGATCCTAGTTCGTTTTATTACTTCATTGCTGTGCTGTATGTGTATAGGCCAATGTATGTTATAATTAATCAAAATGAATCTATTAAAAACATTTTGATTAATGTAACACACAAATTTGAATCAGTACCAGCCCTAAACGATTTACATATTCTTAACAAGCAGTAAAATAACTTTAAAACAAGCCATCACTGACCTCCCTAGCTGCATCTGTTGAGATGTTACACATTTTCAGAAAATCAGAACAAAGACTCTGGTCAGTTTCACTCCTGCTGGTTGTTTACAATAGGAGGCTGGTAGCCTGTCAAGTTTTGTTCTCATAGAAAAAGCTACAATTGCAATGCATGTCAAATTTGAAAATGTATTTCTCCACAATGCTTATGGATACAGGGATGGAAAATGACTTGTTTTAAAGTGCTTCCACTGCTTGTCCAGATTATGTAAATAATTAAGTGTGCATTATCACAGGTTAAATTTCAAGTTAATGTTTCAAATCTTCTGCTGTTTACAAAAAAAATTTATGAACATCTACAAGCATGATGGCAGTTTATATCATTCTGTATGAACACAGTTTCAGTGCAAAGTATCGGAAATTAAACTGTTTGGTGCTTTGGATTAAGAAATCTGATCTTACTACAAATTGGTAAAACCACACAAAATTACAGTCATTGACCACATTCTTCAAATGACAAATAGCACCTCGCGCCAAACAAAACAAATCTCTATAATAAATAAGTGCTAAACAATACATGCAATCAAAGTGTTCACAATTGCTCTTCTTGTAAATATCAATCCTAAATATTATCCCTCTGGATAAGTTCAATCATATAATCTGTGTTCAGATGTGCACAAATGTGGAATCACACGTATAAAGTGCTCAAAATTTGTCCCAAGTGCACCACACTCTTTATCCTTCCACTGTGAAAATTCTTTATACAAAGTCCATACACAAACTCCAATTATCACCCAGGTGCTCATCCCTCTTAGTGGGCTGCTCACCTTATAAGTAGACCTAAGCAGGTCTAAAATCGCTTTATAGGATCTGCAATTGATCTTATCCAAAGGCTGTCTCTCCACAATCGTTACACAGAAAATGATGTCAGCGTGTCATCACGACCATATCCAATAAAATATAGAAACAGCCCATAGCGTAAAACCGTAAAATTCAAAAACTTCTTTATTTAAAAAAACTACTCACCTGAGGAAAGTTGACCTAAAACTTCAAGTAAAATGTATGCCCGACAACTCTCGGCAACACTACTTCAGATCCATGCAATTAGAGTCAGGTATTCAAGATTAGGTGTAACTGATTACAACCTCCTTAGGGAGTATTCAGGTGGAACCTTTCTTATTTAAACCTCAGACAACATCTAGTATCTGGTGTTCTCTCTGCTATCAATGTGTGTGGTGCCATCATGCCAAGATCAAAAGAGCTCAAAGGCTCTTAGAAAGAAGGTTGTCAATGCCTATAAGTCTGACATATATTTTCAAAAGATTGCTAAATTATTTGAAACCACTGATTTCACTTTTAGGAAAATAATCAAGTCATGTACAGTAGATTTTAAACAATGATAATTTGTCCAGGACTAGCTGGCCCAGCAAATGCAGCCCAAGAGCTGACCATTTAAAGCTAAAAAGGGTATTCAAGAACCCCAAAATGTTTTTTTTTATATTTTTATTTCAAATTTATAATACAAAATAAAGTAAAGCACACAACAGTGCAACTTCCTGGAATGAACCAGAAATAGGGGAACTCCCCTCAGTTAGCTCACGTTCTAGAATTACAGCCGAAGACAGACTAAACAAGAAAGGAAAGAGTGGTCTGAGCCACCCAACATCTATAAAGACGCAGATTAGGAGGCTATCATGTACCTGGTGGAGGACCAATTAGCTGAGGAGGCCTCCCTTGCGGCTCTGGTCTCACACCCCTGGATGTGGAAACAGGGAGCGAGTAGACAGAGAGAAGCACGGTTGCCAAAGTGTTCAGACACGGTGCCTGGTAGAAGTCCGGCAACTGGATCCCTGGAAGGGTGAGCAGGGCTGGTGCACAGCTGTGATGTCAGCGAGGTTTGCAGCAGACACTGGAGCGAGCTCAAACAAGCCAGGGGTCAAGCCAGACGGTCACCACAGTACAGAAGGAGCAGGCAGAGTCCAGATAACAAGCAGAGGTCAGGGGCAGGCAGCAATCAGCCGAAGTCAGCACCAATCCGGGTCAAGGTAACAGGTAACAGATCAACAGGAACACAAGCACAAGCTGAAAGACCGTTCAGCACTGACACATTGGGCCAGCTGGTTTAAATAGGAACATCTGTTAGAGGGCAGTGAGTCACTTCCTGTGCGCCAGTGTCACTTCCTGTGTGCATATTTTCCGGCAACCCGGAAGACTGGGACCCGCGCCTGCATAGTTGCGCGTGAGCTCCCGGTTATGACCTTACAGAGACAGTCATAAAATACTTAACACAAGCAAGCATTAGGGTTCAGAATCTATTGCTGAATTTGGGTATTCAATCCAAGCATCTTGCACCTTATTAAATTTAGTGGGGCAGCCTCTATGATAGAAACTGAGATCTGAAGGCATGAGAGATCTGTAAGGAAAAAAGTTGGAAAGTGGAATCAAATATTTAGGGGACAACATTTCAAAGGACATCAATTTGTTATCCTTAACCACTTCCCGTCCACCGATCGTTGAAAGACGGCCAGACGGGAGTCTCCTGGATGCGGGTGGGCGTCTTTAGATGTCCTACGTGGGCGCGCACGAGCAGGAACTTGCCAGGATTTTAAACAGCCAGCGATGGCCGTTTACATACAAGCAGTCCTGCGTCTGTAAAGACACCCGATCGCTTGTATGATTCAAGTGAGGGTGTGCCCCCTCCTTACCTCTGGTCGCCGTCCTCGCGATCCCGGGTGTCCATCCGTCACGGGCGATGTGGCTCTGTTCACTGAGAAAGGAGGGAGATCAGTCCGCGATCTCCCTCCGCTCTCCTCCCAGTCTCTGAATGCAGGAAGTGTTGTACATTACATCACTTCCGCATTCCTCTGTCACTCTCCGGTACAGAAACCGGAGAGAAGCTGATGAAGCAGATCTGTGCTTCATCAGCTTCTCTGGGGCTCCCTAGATGACATTAGGGGTCTTAGAGACCCCTGATGTCTCCACAAAGGGGAACTGTAATTTGTTATCACATAGGAGCACCCCATGTGATAACAATAAAGTTAAGTGTAAAAAAAAAAAACGCTCAGAAGATAAATACAAATTTACACACAAAACAAAAAGAAAAACCCACAAAATTTTACATACACCTACACGCAAAAACGGCGATTGCTCCAATTATGCTGCACGTGTTACATATCGCCGCGAACGTCGCAATGAGAGCAATAATTCTAGGGCCATCAGTCACTGATAACACTAAACTGATGAGCGGTAAAATCTTTTAAAGCGTCGCCTATGGCAAATTTTGGCTATGGTGTTTTTTTGCGATTTCGCGGGCGCTCTCAATTTTAAGGCTTGATATTTCTGGTGTCTATTTACCCGACATGACCCCGCCTTTTATATTTTACCAAAAAATTGGGTAAAAATAATTGTTTTCTAAAATAATAAAAGGGAAAACCATTATTTTTTTAATATTCGGTAAATTTTTTGTTATTTAAAAAAAACAAAAAACCCCTTCATGACTGAGGCCTTTTTTTCATTTTTTGTACCCATGTTATATTCCACATTTTAGGCCTGAAAATTACTTAAAACCCCCCAACATTATATATTTTCTGAATGCCAAGACCCTATAGATTTCTAAACCCTCCGGTTTTTTTGCATATCTCTCTGGGTGTCTGGGGGCCTTCCGAGGCTCCTCATCAATTTGGAAGAGCGAGGATTTTTTTGCCAGTTAACACATAGACCCGACACAGCAGAAAATTCAGTAAGCACTTTCAAAGCTCCCTGATAGCATCACTCTCTACTCCAACCAACCTATCCAGAGACCTCTGATAGATGCCTTGGTTCTCAGGGCTTCTGCAATGGGTTCCATAGCTAAGGCAAAAAGAGCAGGCAACAGCAGACAACTGTGCTGTGTTTCTCTATAGATAGGAAAGAAGGTAGATAACTTATTTCCCAACTTAATGGCCACAACTGGACTATGATACAGAAGCTTAAGCCAAGGTGTAAACTCTACCAGAAACACCATCTTATTCATTACTGCCCACAGGTATGGCCACTCTACCATATTAAAAACCTTCTCTATACCAGAGAGGCTACTACTCTGGAACCTACATTGATATGTGGGGCATGAATGTTTGTGAAGAGTCTACAAATATTGATATCTGTAGATCTATGAGTATGAAGCCCGTTTGATCAGGGTCTATGAGACTACACATCTGTTGGTTGAGTCTCATACTAAAAATTTTCATCAAAGCGTGATTGATGAGAATGTGAGGCCACCTGTTCAAAAGTTGAAGTGGAACTGGAAAAGGATCCTTCAAAACAATAATGATCTGAAACACACACGCACATTTGCCACAAATTGCTAAAAAAAAGGAAATGGATGGTTATGGACAGGATTAGTCAAAGACAGTAATGAAAGCCCAAGTGATTTCTGATAAAGGGGGTAAAAGCAGCTTCTGAGGCCAAAGATTTACTTTCATTGCTATTTTGCTGAGTAAATGATTGGAAAAAAAAACCATCATGTGTTTTATTAAGTAGAGGAAAAGCAAAAATGTATTAAGTAGAGGAAAAGCAAAAATTCAGTATTTAAATATATCATTATATTTGTCTGTACACTGTTTGAATGGAGATCTAATGTTGGCCGGTTCAAATGTTGAAAAGGTTAACAATTTCCATGGGGTGTATTTACTGTTTCATATAACTGTATATGGATCTGATTCCTCACCTTTCATTCTGAAAGATGCAGAAAAAAAAAATCTTATTGTGCCCTAAAATATAGTTTTCCAATGTCAGCCGAATACTTATGCTTTTTCTGGTTCACTTGCTAAAGATGATGACTGACCAATTTCCAAATCCAAACATTACCTGTCCAGAACTAAGTGAGTGACCTTCAGGGCCCTCCAAAAGTTAGACTAGTCTTACTGCACCTCAGTACATAGTGTTTTCATTTCTAGTTAGTTAATTATTCAGATTAGTTTAATCTTTTCTGGTTCACTTGCTAAACAATGATGGTTGCTTGACAAAATCCCAGCAGATAACATAACCAGTCCGGCCCAGAAGTGACTGCCCCTCCCTCAAAATTATACCATACCTACCGTGTCCCCAGATATAGTGTTTTTTAGTCAAATATTCTGATTAGTTTAGGCTTTTCTGATTCAATTGCTTACCAAGAGGGCCACCCACCCAAATCCCAGCAAACACAAAAAACATCAGATTCCTGTGAGAGATCTCAAGATGATGCTGAAAATGTGCATATGACCCTTATAATTTGAGGTCCATTCCATCTGGCAAGTGAGGTTGTCTGCAGGTGGTGGTAGTAGTGGATAACATAGTTGGAGCACATTTGATGTGGATTCTAGAACTTATGCAGTGTTGTGGATAATCTTCCTGGTTAAAGGTAAAAATAACACAGAAAGTAGTAAAAAAGGAGTTAATAGTGGGCTCACTCCAGTCAATATAGGAAATCCGTTGGCACATGTAAGTATAACTACCAACGGACGACCGAACAGAGTTAAATCGAGGATATTGTAATAGTAATAGGGATCACAATGTGATTACTTTTAATATTGAACACAGAAAAGGGAAGTGTACTGGAAGGACTAGAACCCTAAACTTCAGAAGGGCCAACTTTGATAAGCTGCGCAACCTAGTGGGGGAAATAAAATGGGAAAACTTATTTCAAAACCTAAACACAGACCAGATGTGGGTTTTTTTTTAAAACACACTACATACTGATACTTCAAAGTGTATACCTTTAGGGAGCAAAAATAAAAGATCAAAGACTAAACCAATATGGTTTAATAAAACTGTAAAACAACATGTCAAGGACAAGAGAGCGGCATTTATAATATGTAACTATGTAAAGGTTTCAAAGATTAAAGATTTTCAAGGACATTGTGTGGAGAATGAAACATTTGAAAAATGTTTTTGCAAGACTGGCAAACTGTGCACGTTCCTTGGAACATTTGGAATGATGTGTTTGATTTCAGTGTAAAAAAAGATCATTAGCTTTATGGTTTGGGTGTTTTATAGTTTTGATTTTTAGTGTAAACACTGTTTAAGGGCTCGAAAACATGGGGTATATTACTATGGTATAGAGACACAAAGCCATATGCTAAGACACCAAATGGACCTTTAAAACATCTTTGTGCATTCCCAAATAATAATATAACATGTCCACTTGGACCAGAGCTACATTAGTGCAGCTCATATGATTAGTACTTTTAAAATGAAATATTTTATACTGCACTCTTTATATACTATGGGCCTACACTGTACATTTTGCTGATTAATTGTATTATCTTGTATTGTTGATATCTTCGTTATACATTTTGTACCTTTTTTATTTACCCATAAAAAAATTAAGTAAAAATGGTAAACTGCTTTGCTGAAAATGTGCCTGATCAGATTTACACCAACATGAAAGAATCACCTACATGTGGAAGTTTGCAAATACAGTATATTTAATTGTTCCATCTCCTTCAAGTAGTCCATGCAAGAGTTTTATTCAAATCATTCATCTTTTACCTTTTGTGTTAATCTATTATTAGCGTTTTGTATTATTATTATTATATAATCTATTATTATTGTATTTTAGGTGAACTTTTACCACGACCGTACAAAGATAATATTAAGCAGAGCGAAGCAAGGTTATCTACTTACTTTTGTTGACCAAGACAGACAGAGTTGTACAGTGCCACTGTCAGTACTTAAGGCTGGTTGTCCTGCACTTATAATCCAGAGGATGGAGTATGCCCTCATTATGCTGCAAAGCCTGTAATGGGATTTATAAGACTCTTGAAGAAAAATTAAATGAAGTGTTTGGAAAGTAGATTCTCAGCAGGGTTTAGTTGAAGGCAAGTTTCATGTTGTTTTCAAAACCTTGTTTCAAGGTCCATTGCAGGTAACTAGGGAATGTTATGATCTGAAGGCTAATGCACGTGAATTCTTAATTGAAGTTGCTACAGTGGGAAAATGTTATACCAATTTTGCACACTTGGTGAATGAATGTGGCACATTGTTAAAGTTCTAAACAAGACAATATGACAGCAGGTAAAAGAAACATCAAAGTTGTATAGTAAAGAGCAAAAGTATCATTAATGCAGTTTAATGCATGTTAAAACAAAAACACAAAAGCATTATATATATATATATAAAGTATCTGCACTGGTACTCGAAAAGTATCTGTGCATCCCTAATATTTATATATATTATGCATACTGTCTCCTAATAGGCAAATTGCACTCATCGCTGCATTCTTTCCAGCTGTGCAAGTGCCTGAATCTCATAATGCTTTTTTGTGTACGTTATATATGCATTTAACTGTACCCAAAATACATGAAAGTATAAACACAGCCATAGAGTAGAGAACAGCATTTGTTTATACCAAAGGTCAAATATAAACATACACTTGGTAAACATTTTCAACATGCTAATTATAGCAACCAGGAGGAAATTTGCATCAAATTAAAAATTTTGTTCTAGAATATGTTATCATATACAAGGCTAAATGTAGAGTGTTGTATATGAATAAAATAACAATGTGCAATTATGACAGGTTTAAAAAACATTTTGCTTTACTTCCCTTTTGGGTCCAAGGAGTACATTTAATAATATACTCCTGTGATCCAAAGTCAGCAGAAAGTGGGCTAATGCCTGCTATATGCTAACAGAGAAAAGCCACAATATTGTCATTATCCACTCAGCTGCCTGATTGAAAGCCGCCTCTGCCTCTCTAGAGCCAGAGCCAGCTATGCGTGCCCCCTCCACTGTCAGTTCCTCCAAGGAGCACTTGATGAACAGGGAGGGGAGGGTAGCTCTTGGTCCCTCCCCTGTCAGTTCCAGAGCCATGGGTTCAAAGATCATAATTTCTTTACCAGGTGAATTAGTCACATTAAACTTTAAAGCAAGCACAGGACTTAAGATGTAGTAGTCATGTCAAGTTCTCTTAGCAGTAGACAGGAGCAAAATTGTGTATGGGGCCCTGTGGTTTTTAGTTACGCCCCTTGCAGAGCCCACCTGAGAGTGACCCTGCGGAGCCCACCATAGACTTTCTATGGTGGGCTCTGCAGGCTCTCAGGTGGGCCTGGTCACACCCCTGCACACCTCTTACCTGTTATCCCGATCCGCTGTCAGCCTCCTACACTGCCAGGCCCCGCCTCCTCCACAGTCGCTGGCGGGCCTGCCTCCTCCTTCGTTGCCTGGCCCCGTCTCCTCTGCTGCCGAAGCCGGGCCCCGCCTTCGCAGCTGCTGGCCGTCACTGACTCAGAAGCGGCTGTGAGGAGGAACGCGCCGCTGCACAGATCAATGACAGGTTGCTAGTGATCTGAACAGTGGCGCGTTCCTCCTCACAGCCACCAGTAACACCAAGCAGCCTGCGATGCCATGGTGACCCACACGACATCAGGGGGACCTCTTTGTTCCTCGTCCTGGCCGGCCCCCGTGCCCCATGGGTTGCTATGGTGATAGTTCCGCCACTGGCAGAAACAATTTTAGCATTCGGAGGTTCCAGAACTGTGACTAATGGCTACGACTGTCAAAGCACCAGAGGGTAAAATATTATGCATTTGCTAATTTTATCTGCTACTGGGTTTTCTGTACTGGAGGATATAATATATAAAAGGACTCTGCCACTTTAGAATGAAAGCTCCTGACAGGTATAAAGTGCAGGCACTATCTTGAAACACATCTTTTAGTGTCTCTACTCTGCCTGAATAATGGTCCGTTCTGATCCAGCAAAGCTTTGGCACTTTCTAATTCCCTCCACCACACATTGCTGTTTGTCACTGAGGCAGCCTATCATAGTGACAGCCTAAAAAGAAGTGTATAAGGGCAGTGAGGTATAAGGGCAGTGAGGTACAGGGGCAGATCCAGAGTCTAGTCTCGGGAGGGGCACCGCCAAATTATAAGCCCCCCCCATCTGGCTCTTCCACTGCTACTGTGCCACCCCTTTCCTCTCTCACCGCCTATGTGTCCAAGAGGTCAGGAATGTGACGCAATTGCGCAGGTCAGGAATGTGACGCAGTGCGGAGCTTAGTAATGTGACGCAGCGCGGAGCTCAGTAATGTGACGCAGCGTGGAGGTCAGGAATGTGACGCAGTGCGGAGGTCAGGAATGTGACGCAGTGCGGAGGTCAGGAATGTGACGCAGTGCGGAGCTCAGTAATGTGACGCAGTGTGGAGGTCAGTTAAGTGATCAGCGGTGTAAGAAAAGTAAGAAAAGGGACTTACAGTGGTGATGTGCTCTGTCCTCATGCCCTCTTCTTCCTCTCCAGGTGGTGGATCCAGGGGGGGGCAATGCGGGGGAGCATCCATGTCTGCTCCATGTGAAGCCCCCCACAGCCTTCTTGTGCCTCCTCTGCAGGTGCCTTCCCGCTCTGCTGAAACTAGCCAGGCAGCCAATGATGGTGCTGCACCCTCCCAGCCAATAGCAAGCAAAGGAGGACGGAGGCAGAGCAGAGGAGAGCAGAGCCGTCAAAAGAGATTTTCGGAGGAGGAGGGGAGGTAGGGGGGAGGGTTGAAGCCTTTGATCCCCGCACAGCGGCCGGAACATACAGCTGTAAAGCTGTCACAGAGTTTACTGCGACCAGTGTAAAAGAAACGGCGTAGTACTTGGAGTGTGCCGTTTTTTTTACACTGAATCACAGTAAACTCTGTGACAGCTTTACAGCTGTATGTCCCGGCCGCTGCGCTGGGATGCTGGTTTTACTACTCCTGCGGTTGGGAGGGGCAG